GAGCATACATGGGCCCTAGCTGGCTGGAGAGACGGGTCTCAAACGGCCAGCTAGGGCCCATGCATTCCGGAAAGGCTGGTTTCAGCAATGTAGATCTACATGCCATCCACCGCGGGCACCCATTTGAGTCACAACGAGAAATAGCACCAACACAAGTTTGGCATAAACCGTACAGACGGCGAGGAGACAACAATCTTAAAATAAATCGCAATTATGTAGAACCAGTTGGATGGACATGTGAATTATTATTATTAAAATGTAGAAAGGAAAAGGACATAATGGATACGAGTTTACTATACTAGTATACAGTCAGAAAGTGCAATAACTAGGCACAAAACTGACAGAGTACTGAGACATTCGACATCCTGACACCTAGCTTCAACATATCTCCGTAGCGCTAACCGACAGCCTTCCAACTAACTTGGAAGGTTCAAGGTTATGGGAAGACCAAAGAGGGGAAGGCAGGCGCAACGAAAACGAGCAAAAGCTACAGTCCCAACGGAACAAAGAATGTCGATTGTTACTGGACGATGACGAGACTGTCCTTTTCCTTTCTACATTTTATTTATGGCTCAACATCCGAGTTTCAAATTATTATTATTAGGGACCTTTCGCATTTGCTACGAAACGAATGCGAAACGAAAGTTTGATTCGGCTCGTAATCGTTTCGTTGAAAACAGATTTCAGGTTTCGCGAGTCGTCATGCAAATGTGCATGGCAACTACGAATGCGGCCGCGGGCGCCGGTAGTTTGGCGTACGGGTTTTTACACGCACACATGCATGGATATGGATGTAGATAATCAAGCGAGGTACAGAGCTACAGTAGAGGGCTTGATGGCTGATCAAAGCCCAAGGGTCCAGCCCGAGGGCCGTAGGCCCAAGGGCTGGGCCCGAGGGCTTTGATCAGTCATCAAGCCCGCGACTGTACCTCGCTTGAATATGCTTCAGACGATCCCCAACATTTTTTTGATTTTGAATCAAACTCGCTTCATTCTTAGTTTGGGTGATCTCGAGTGTGGACAATGTCGGCCTTTCCTTTGGGATTTCAGAGCAGCCTGAAGTCTAAAGTGCATGTCGTTTTCGTCCCGTTCGTAAGTTTCACACAGAGATTACAGCAAAGGGAAAGTAATGTCAGTGGACGAAAAACCTGTTTCGTGAGAAATTTCTCGAGAGAAATTTCTCAGGACAACGTGTCAAGAGCCAGACGTGGCTGAAGAGTCACGGAAGTATTTTCACTTCCACCATACACGCCTTGCTCACGCTGCATACTGCTGAGAGTTCTGCGGTGCATGCTGGAGCTAGGTTTCCAACTCCACAAGTTTTCGTCCCGTTCGTAAGTTTCACACAGAGATTACAGCAAAGGGAAAGTAATGTCAGTGGACGAAAAACCTGTTTCGTGAGAAATTTCTCGAGAGAAATTTCTCAGGACAACGTGTCAAGAGCCAGACGTGGCTGAAGAGTCACGGAAGTATTTTCACTTCCACCATACACGCCTGGCTCACGCTGCATACTGCTGAGAGTTCTGCGGTGCATGCTGGAGCTAGGTTTCCAACTCCACAAGTTTTCGTCCCGTTCGTAAGTTTCACACAGAGATTACAGCAAAGGGAAAGTAATGTCAGTGGACGAAAAACCTGTTTCGTGAGAAATTTCTCGAGAGAAATTTCTCAGGACAACGTGTCAAGAGCCAGACGTGGCTGAAGAGTCACGGAAGTATTTTCACTTCCACCATACACGCCTTGCTCACGCTGCATACTGCTGAGAGTTCTGCGGTGCATGCTGGAGCTAGGTTTCCAACTCCACAAGTTGAGAGCCGCCGCATCCCCGACCACCACCCCTATCGGTTTCTTGTTCTTATAAGTTATAGCCAGATCACCTTGAAAAGACTGAGATTGGGCATGATCAGGGCTTCAGGTTTTTACCGTACCGTTTCTATGGTTGTAGCCAATGAGCGACGTTCCCGCGGTGGCCTTGATGAGCCGATAAAGCCCGTGGTCAATGGATACGGAAAAATACGGTAGCAATAAAGCCCGTCGTCAATGGCACCCCGTACTCTGTCAGCCTAGCTCTGCAGGGGTCTGTGGCAGTTTTTCGTTGTCAGCTCAGTTCACATCTCACATTCGACTGTGAACATGCTCTGGTACATGGTATACGGTACCTGAAAACAGCCTGTCCAAAAACGGCAACATGAAAAGTGTCGACACATCGTGGTCAGTTTTCAACTCAACTTCTTGTTGTCGTGAGTGGAGAAGACATTTTACGATAGTTGTGAATAAGCGAAAGAGCATGCACCTATCTATCTGCTAAGAAACAAGCTGAAATAAGTGGCAAACATCGCGATCAGTTTTCCCCTTTCTGTTCTACATGTACTAAAAAAGGAGTTGACGAGTTGCCGAACCTTTCTGATAATTTTGAGGAAGCGAAAGGTCATGGACCAAGGATCATCCCATCCATGAGAAGCGGACGGAGCTGAAACTCACAAGCTGAAGGAGCTGAAACTCACAAGCTGAATCCACCACGTCCCCGACCACCACCCCTATACATGTCTTGCTTTTATACCAGAAAGGCGAAAGACAAAACCTGAAACACCATCATAGAGGTCTGGCAGGACTTTTCGCCTTCATCAAGGCCTCGTGCGTACGGCCGCGGGCGCAGGCCTCGGCGCTACGCGCCTTGGCCTGCGCCCTTGGCCGTACGCACTCGGCCTTGATTCAGCCGTAAAGTCCTGCCAGACCTCTATGATTGTCTACTTTGATGGTTTTGTCGTACAGTTGCCAATGCCATGGCAGCGGGCTTTGATGATTTTCTCGTGCGAAGGACTAAAGGGACCGTCACTTAATTTTTGCCGACTACCCGCCAAAAAAATCTTTTCGTTTCACGTGTCAGACACGTCCGCGAGCGCGTACGCTGTGTGAAGTAAATTGTGGCTCCACAATCGCTCTGAATGCTAATGTGTGTCCATGGAATACTAAAACACAATAGGCGCGGTGCAGCTAACGCCCAACGTGGATGAAACGGACAACAGCAGCGACTAGAGCGTTCTCCTTCCTCGGTGAACACTGCTACAAGACATTATGCTTGATGATTCACCAAATACCATCGTTGGGGGCCAAGTTTTCCGGCGCCAGCGAGTTGTTCGTCCACCAACTATTAAACTTTGATGAGTCTTTCTTCAACACTTCGTAGAGCAGCCGCGCAAGGCCTTTCCTTCGCGTTAGGGTAGCGATCCTTCCTAGATGATATCGCTATTCATTGTTACTTTTTACTACAATGAGTAGTGTTTCTCCGAAAATAAAGTCAGCTGCCTGGGCATTAGACTGATTAGTGCTGCCTAGGCCTAGCGCCTGGACTTGGGAAAAAAATTGATTTTGCAAGTCTTCAATCATGTTTGCATGTACGCGCTATCCAGCCATGTGGCGTGAACAGATAGCCTGACGTGAAAGGACCTAGGTAGCGCGGGCGCGCGCGAGTCGATCGTACGCGCACGCGCTCGCGGACGTGTCTGACACGTGAAACGAAAAGATTTTTTTGGCGGGTAGTCGGCAAAAATTAAGTGACGGTCCCTTTAGTCCTTCGCTTTTCTCGTACAGGTTGTCAATGACAGCGGGCTTTGATGGAAAGCCCGCTCTCCGAGGCTGCTGATTGGTCGTAACCTAGCAAAGGGCACGTGGGTCGTTTGAACATGGAATCAAGGGAAAAATTTGTACCTTGCAAAACATGTGTATCTATCCAAATAAATGTGTACCTGACGGATTCGGAGCGTGCCACGAATGAAGAGGCTTCCATCGAACCCAGGTGACGAATCAGCATTCGTTTCGTATCCGTCCGCGGGGTGCGAAAGGTCCCTAATGTGCATTTTCGCGTGGAAGTCGACCGATAGGTCCACTTCTTCGCTTGTGCTGGACAACGAAGGCAGGAGGATAACAAATGATACGCTGTGGTAAAAAAAATCAAACGATCACTGTATCAGAACCAAAACAGCACAAATCAGAAGAAAAGGGGCAAAGGAGCCGCACAACTATAAAGTCAGTGGACATGTACTAATCTTTAATATAATAAGACTTTATAATTCATGTTCATCCAACCCGCGATATTCATGTTAAAACAAAATGGCGTCACGATTTATTGAAAGTGGTATAGTTGGTGGTACGAGTGTTCAAAACCATTTGAACTTCATACTGTTCGTCTTCTTTTTGACATGCTCTCTTTCCATCGTCCTTAGCTTTTGTTTGTTGAGAGCTGTTTTGGCTTTCTCCTATACCTCTGGGGGATGCCAAGTGATGGTTTTGAGAGGCTGGTGATGGCTGTGAGCGAGAGTTTGCCGATCGGCGTCGTCCTCGCTATAGCGATGAAAATACTAGTTACTGCGCACCTGGCAGATATCACAACACGTCGGAGCGTCCAGGAGCAAAGGAATCTTGGGTTTTCACTGGAATCTAGTTCCTCCAGCATCGTGTAGCCCACCGTCGGTGAATGGCGGTCCAGAAAGGTCGAACCTGGTCTTCTGCAGCATCTCGCAGTCCTGCGAGGCACACTGAATACGCCTGTCATATATTCTACAAATAAAAATCACGAAGTAGTGGACTTTACAGTGATGAGTCTATCCTGTATGCTGCAAAAGACGCAGGAAATGTGACTGGTGTCTGTACACTCAGTGACTGGACGCCAACACCCCAGTCTTCTCCTGCAGGATCTGTTTGACAGTGACATTATGCAGTAGGTCGGCATGGACCTGGTTTGGCAGCTATCGTAATAGTATCTGCCTGGTTGGATGTAGCAGGTTGGTGTTTGCTCGTCGTCCAGTCCGGAATTTTCTTGTAACTCACGGTAGAGTACGCGCAGGGTTTGTGATCATCCCTGTTCACTTCAATATTATCAAACACAACGTTCCCTTTGTCACTCATCTTATCCTGAGTACTGAATTTGCTGACAATATTGCACCACACTTGTCACAACCTACCGCCACTGCTGGCGGTGGCGGCTGGTTCGTCAATGGCGGTGACCAGGCTGACTGACTAGCTTCGAGACAGCGGCCTCGTTGTCAACCCCGCGGCAGCCTAAAGGTTGATTTTATCGATCCAGCCTCAGCGCCATGTTGACGATGCCCTAGTGACTGTGTGTCACGGATTGCCTTGCCATCAGCGGTCATTGCCGTCCACCTTGATGCAGCCCTCAACAACTGGCTCAGCCCATGGGAGTCTCAAGTGGACAAAGTTGTTGCCAAAGTAGCTCAGAAGATTGGTGCATCGTGGTGTAGGTGAGCACATAACTAGGACTTCCCAGCGCCTATTTGTCCAGGCTGCGATACTATGTGACATGCTGTACTGCACATTATTTTCAGCACTGCAAGGCCGGCAGCTGGACCGACTGCAGGGGCCGCGCACATGCAGGCCGCCTGTTGCCAGTGCAGCATTCTGGAACGTTCCTTCCTTCTGAGATCCGTGGAATAATAACTTTCTTTGCTTCAAAGCAAGTTGCTTACCTTTCTGTTGTGCTCCCAGTGTCCTTACAACAATAACCTACAGCAATGTTTTATTTTCCTTTCCATTCCCCAACCAATGAATACTACGATGTCGATTCTATTTCTTCATACTTTGGTGTGTGCCCGCGCACGCACGTGTGTGTGTGTATACCTCACTCGCCACTCGAAGTTCTGTTCCCCATCACTGGAACACTGCCTGTTCTTTCAGGACCTGCCATCATCTGCGGATGGGCATTCAATGATTGTATTGTGTGTGTGTTTCATTCAGAATCAGATCCGCTATCGGTGCTTAAAGAGAAAATCTGTGGGTTCACATCCAGTGCATTTTTAGATTTGCGTGCTTTTCTCGCCACGGGCGCATACATGGGACATTGTGTGTGTGTGTGTGTGTGTGTGTGTGTGTGCGTCTGTGTGTATGGGGATATTGTCTGTATCGGCTTTTGGTACTAATGTTCAGGTCTGTGCTTGCATGTGTGAACATGAAATTGTTCGGTTCTGTGCATGCTATTGCTATGTTGTATATTATTGTATGTATGTGTGCATTTCCACGAACAGTGTAGACGAGCGTGGAGAGTGCATTCATCCCTCATCAACCACTTCCCCTTGGGCTTACGAGAGTTTTTTCTGCGTACCTCTCATTTTGTTTGTTTCTCTCTGATACTGTATTGATGCCGGTACCTGTACCTCGATGTGTTCCTCTATCTGCAGTTGCCTTTAACCTTCGGTCAAGTTAACGTTTACTGTGCTCTATTTATCGTGCGAATCAAAATAAACAATAATAACATAAGTCGTGCTAGAGTGACGACATGTGCGTGTAGTAGGGTTGATGCGATGGGACGTTATAATTAGGTGGAACAGAACACACATTGGGCAGATTGATTGGGCATCATTGACTGTGCTCAGTCTAAACAGTGAACATAATAATTATCTCCAGTGACAGACTGTAGCGGCTAGCCTCCAATAGGTAGCTGGCACTAGTCGCTACTGCTTGTTTGACAGGTGCCGCCAGAACCCCTGTTGTGTCATGCTATAGATGCACATGCCCTGTTCTGGGGCATACTGAGGTACTTTGATTTTGTTGACTGCATGTAGACAGCATCCAATAGTAGTACTCGTAGACCTTGGCTCTTTGTAGGTCAACCACCATCGCATGGATCGATCGGTGACTATGCACTTGGAGGTTGGAATAGCGCGCGCTGAACAGATCTTGCCATGGCCCAGGGAGTGAACTCGCTTACTCGACTATCCCGGTTTTAGTTAACCAGCATGAGTGGTGCAATTTGTCCATACCATGTTGCGAGCTCACAGTTGTTTGGGCAGGTTTTGAGCTGCACCACGAAACAAAGCGAAATAACGGCGTGGCTGTAGAGCAAGGAAGCGGCGAGACGGCACTTCCAGGACGAGACAGGCAGTAGAGATGTGTTCACAGCACGAGCAACCTCTCAAACCCTGCCGGTACTCCACAGTTACAAGAAAATGTCGGACTGGACGATGCGCCAATGCAAACCTGCTACATCCACCCAGGCAGATAGCTGCCAAACCAGGCCAATGTCGACCCACTGCATACCGGTATGTCAATGTCAAACAGATCCTGCAGGAGAAGACTGGGATGCTATTGGCGTCCAGTGTACGGACACCAGTCACATTTCCTGCGTCTTTTGCAGCATACAGGATAGACTCATCACTGTAAAGTCCACTACTTCGTGATTTTTATTTGTAGAATACATGACAGGCGTATTCAGTGTGCCTCGCAGGACTGCGAGATGCTGCAGAAGACCAGTTTCGACCTTTCTGGACCGCCATTCACCGACGGTGGGCTACACGATGCTGGAGGAACTAGATTCCAGTGAAAACCCAAGATTCCTTTGCTCCTGGACGCTCCGACGTGTTGTGATATCTGCCAGGTGCGCAGTAACTAGTATTTTCATCGCTATAGCGAGGACGACGCCGATCGGCAAACTCTCGCTCACAGCCATCACCAGCCTCTCAAATCCATCACTTGGCATCCCCCAGAGGTATAGGAGAAAGCCAAAACAGCTCTCAACAAACAAAAGCTAAGGACGATGGAAAGGGAGCATGTCGAAAAGAAGACGAACAGTATGAAGTTCAAATGGGTTTGAACACTCGTTCCACCAACTATACCACTTTCAATAAATCGTGACGCCATTTTGTTTTAACACGCATACGGTCCACTGGTTCTACGTCTGTGATTTTAAGTTTGGCAAAGAACGTTTTTACTTGCATGCTGTCAATACGTACACATGGCAAGTTCTGAGTTGCTGGCAGTTCCTAGTTATAGGGGCAATGGCCATATAGGAGTCTTACTGTACTCCTCTCTCCTCTCTCTCTCTCTCTCTCTCTCTCTCTCTCTCTCTCTCTCTCTCTCTCTCTCTCTCTCTCTCTCTCTCTCTCTCTCTCTCTCTCTCCTCCCTCCCTCCCTCCCTCCCTCTCCCTCCCTCCCTCCCTCCCTCCCCCTCCCCAGATGACTCGATGCAAAACATTCACGATGATGTCATTTTTCATAGGTTCCAATCCCCTGCCGCCGCTCCATACTTCCCACAATCACTCTCATGATGGCCGGTGATGCATGGCAACTCATTAGCCAATCAGCAGTGGAGGGTCTACGGCAGTGCATACTAGTAGGAGCATACACCCGCTGCACTCAAACCCTGTTTTGACCCCCCCCCCTCCCTCCCCGCCCCCCGCCCCAGTGACGTTCAAACACACAACCGCGCGCAGGTGGTTCTATCCAAGTCTTGTCAGTAGCATTGTCAAACACGTAAGCCACGTAAGCCAGCACTGGATATTCTCAACAGTGGTCAGCATAATTATGTATTTATGTAGCTATTCTCAAAATATTACAATAACATATAACTCAATCTGCGGACAGAACTGTTTCGTCCTTTGTGGACTCATCAGCGCAGCACAGAGAAAATGAAATAGAACACAACAAATATCAAAGTAAAAAAAACATAGATTCAACATCCTACAAATCTTTTAAAATTCACGTTCCACACGAGGTAGCAAAGTATCTACAGTTTTGTGAAAAAATGAGAAAAAAGATTTTTTTAAAGAAAATTTCCTCGCCTTCTTCTGATAGACGTTTTGTATGTGGACATGATGGCAGAGCTAATAATTTTCATAGGTTTATTTCTGATAGACATTCACAACTATGACATACACAAGGCACGTTAGTAGGTCGGTGACGATGGGGCTGCCAGTTAGACCGGCTGAATGTGACCAACGGCACCAGATGATAGTGTGAAGTGGCGGCAGTACCAGCAGCAGAGAGATCAGTGATCAGCCAATAGAAACACAACACAACACAGGGCAAAGGAACACAGGAACACAACATTATAAGATGCTATCGCACACTCTCCAGTTCTTTTGCTCTTGTCTTGTTGCGTCGAGCTCTTTTTCTTCCCTGTTCATCGTGTGTGTGTGCGCGCGCGCGCGCGCGCGCGTGTGTGCGTGTGTGTTTTGGAAATCAGCCCAGTTTTACTGACTGAATCATGGAAGCTACAAGCCTACAAAACCCATGACTGCACGGCTTGCAGTCCAAGCTGATATCCGAATGATGCGCCGTATCACCATTCACTCTACTGAGTAACTCTGATGTAAAATTACGTGAACGACGCGCTACACCATAATGCATTCTCTCCGCGTGCACATACAGAGAGCTCCACACTCTGTCTGGTTAAGGGCCCTGACAGACTGCGGAGAAGGCATTCTTCCAACGGTACATAACCCTTAGTCCATAACCCCTAGAGTGTGCAACGCTGATCTTCGTCTTATGGATGCCCTGTGCGGCACGCTGCCTTCACGGCGTAGTGAAACGACGATCAAGCTGACTGGATTGGAGTTTTCCTAAGTTTAGCCTCAACCAGTTCACGCACAATACGGTAAGTTAAAAGGCAATGCCTGCGTACGGCGCAAACACGCACAAACCCAAATCTGAAGTCTCTGAAAAAAGCGGACTTGGTAGCTGGAAGGCGTAGCAGATCAATAACGACACAATGGCCCAGCTGATTCACCAGCGCTTGGCTACATAACGCGGGCAGCGCGCCGCGCCAGACAACATGTGTAGAGTTGCACACTCTTGGAGATATGCAGTAGAGTTAGCTCTCTGTTCACACAGCGCTCCATACTCTTGGCGATATGTAATCTAGATTATTCTTCATAACACAGTCGTGGCCAAAGAAATTCAACCCGCGGGTCAAAAAAACTCCCTTCAATCTAGGGTGCGTTTGGTTGGTACGATCTAGAACAGGATCGAACAGCTGGTGCACGTGGAGCAGCCTCATGCCAACCAAACGGTACTCCAGAAACAGAGCATATTTTTGTGAAAAATATGCCAAACTTGGCGCATTCTTCAAAATGTGTATGGGTCACCATGGTCACTGTGTACGGTACGACGAGTCCAACCCAAAAGCGTATGCACGTGATCATTTGGGACCAAAATCGATGTTCCCGCCAGGTTTCACTGTGAAAAAGTGAAACTGCTCGGGCTGCTCCGGCCTCGAGGCCGGAGCAAGCAGAACATGTTCTGGCCGACCCAGAACAGGTGCAGTCCCAACCAAACGCGCTGTTCTGGTGAATCCTGTTCTAGTTCGTACCAACCAAACGCGCCCTTAGACTACGTCTTTGGGAAATCCTCAAATATATTATATAATAATAATAATAAAAGCTTGCATCATGCACGGTCCAAAAAACCCATTCGAGGACCGCATAAGCCTTGGCGCTGATTTCAGCTCACAGGTCAGCTTTCTTTCTGTACTTGAAGTAGATATGGTCAAACATCAGTAATTTTAAAAATCACTGAAAAAAAGATGTTTATGTCAGAAGTGGGATTCGAACCCACGCCTACAGAAGTAGACTGCGACCTGAACGCAGCGCCTTAGACCACTCGGCCATCCTGACATGCACACAGACTTCCCAGTAGCGGTGTCCTTCGCACATGTACACCACTGTTCAAGGAAGCCTGACCATAAGTCTTCTAACGCCGGTCGCTGTGCAGCCCCAGATTTGAAAACACTGGGCTGTGCACTGGTGCAGGGTGCTCAATTAGTCAAGAAACAGTATGCTTAATTGAGTAGAACAGTGGGGTATCATAATCATATGTCACGTGTATGGACTATATCTGCGAGAAGCATGTAAATGCACGCATGCCAAATTGCACATTCTGCGATTGATTCTCCAATGAAAGTATTCACGTGCGTGACAGGCCGTGCAATCGGGGAACACTAGCCCGTTTTAAAGTAAGAGGACATTGTTGTGTTTGCAGTGGGTCTTGCCCTAAAGAGACTTAGAACAAGCCTGCCCCCTTGGACTGAGTTTGAGTGTCGTGGAGGATGAAAGGTAAGTGACATGTTTCATTTCGTGATTGGGCTTGAGTATATGACGCATGCACACCCAACCAATCAAAACGAGGCATGAACACCCAGCCAATCAAAACGAGGCATGAACAGCCAGCCAAGCAAAACGAGGCATGAACACCCAGCCAATCAAAACGAGGCATGAACAATTATTGAACACCCAGCCAATCAAAACGAGGCATGCACACCCAGCCAATCAAAACGAGGCATGAACACCCAGCCAATCAAAACGAGGCAAATGATAAAACAACCATAAAACACCCGTGGCGTTGAGTGCAAAGAAATTCCAACAAAGAAAATGAGAAAAAACTCTCTGATGATTCTGAGTTTCAAGTGCAGAGCGACTGGTGCAATACTTACTGTAAGACCTGCCAAGGCGACCACTCTGATAAGTCGACCACTCTGATAAGTCGACCACTCTGATAAGTCGACCACTCTGATAAGTCGACCACTCTGATAAGTCAACCACCTGTCCCAGAACACCCCTACGAGCAGGACCAAGGGATGTTGTGTCCAGCCAAACGACCCTGGATAAGGAGACATCTAGTAAGAGAGACCACGTTTTGAAGGTCCGTTGCGCGGTGAGCTTACACAGGTTTCTCTGTACTACTACTTTCACAACCTTAGGTTTTTCTTCTGGCTGCGTTTCACACACGCGTATTGTTTGCTCCTCAGAGAAAAAGTCACGGATACTGCCCCACCAGGGAGGGAAGTGTGCGTGTCAGGATGGCCGAGTGGTCTAAGGCGCTGCGTTCAGGTCGCAGTCTACTTCTGTAGGCGTGGGTTCGAATCCCACTTCTGACATCAGTATCTCTTTTAAGATTTTTTTAACAATGATAGTACACACTGGTGTCTGTCTACTACCGTACCGGTCTTACTCTTTTTCTGCTATGGGTCCACGGCGAAGCATTGTTATTGCATTTTATTGTTCAGTGGTCCCTTTATAATCCAGCACCATTTGTACTACGGACAATCTGCTGGATTAGGGAGGGTGCTGGATTAGGGAGGGTGCTGGATTAGGGAGGGTGCTGGATTAGGGAGGGTGCTGGATTAGGGAGGGTGCTGGATTAGGGAGGGTGCTGGATTAGGGAAGGTGCTGGATTAGGGAGGGTGCTGGATTAGGGAAGGTACTGGATTAGGGAGGGTGCTGGATTAGGGAGGGTGCGGGATTAGGGAAGGTGCTGGATTAGGGAGGGTGCTGGATTAGGGAGGGTGCTGGATTAGGGAGGGTGCTGGATTAGGGAGGGTGCTGGATTAGGGAGGGTGCTGGATTAGGGAAGGTGCTGGATTAGGGAGGGTGCTGGATTAGGGAAGGTGCTGGATTAGGGAGGGTGCTGGATTAGGGAGGGTGCTGGATTAGGGAGGGTGCTGGATTAGGGAAGGTGCTGGATTAGGGAGGGTGCTGGATTAGGGAGGGTGCTGGATTAGGGAGGGTGCTGGATTAGGGAGGGTGCTGGATTAGGGAAGGTGCTGGATTAGGGAGGGTGCTGGATTAGGGAGGGTGCTGGAATAGGGAGGGTGCTGGATTAGGGAAGGTGCTGGATTCGGGAGGGTGCCGGATTAGGGAGGGTGCTGGATTAGGGAGGGTGCTGGATTAGGGAGGGTGCTGGATTAGGGAGGGTGCTGGATTAGGGAGGGTGCTGGATTAGGGAGGGTGCCGGATTAGGGAGGGTGCTGGATTAGGGAGGGTGCTGGATTAGGGAGGGTGCTGGATTAGGGAAGGTGCTGGATTAGGGAGGGTGCTGGATTAGGGAGGGTGCTGGATTCGGGAGGGTACTGGATTAGGGAGGGTGCTGGATTAGGGAGGGTGCTGGATTAGGGAGGGTGCTGGATTAACAAATCTGATTTACTGCTGCAATGTGCATGAAGAGGACATTTTGGTTACTGAAAATTGTGCTGGTTTATAGAGGGTGCTGGTTTATAGAGGGTGCTGGTTTATACAGTGCTGGATTAAAGAGGGACGACTGTAGTTCTCATTTCAACTTGAAGAGTTTGCAGGCAACCTGCCTACACTCAAGAGAGCACTGCATTTCACACATTGCACTTGTGTGAAATGCAGTGCTCTCTTGAGTGTAGGCAGGTTGCCTGCAAACAATTCAAGTGCAATGAAGCTGCGCGAAGTGTCCTTCAAGATTTCTCACTTACAGTATGATGAAATGCGTAGTCCTTTCTGCGCTAATCATATACGATGCGTTGCTAGTTTATTAGGCTAAGGTTGCTTGTTTCTTCATCTGTTGTTCTATTTTGACTGCCGTGCCTGCAAAATGCAGCTATCAAAGAATACCCTGTATGAGAGAGCATCTCCTCTTTGCATGTTTCTGTGCAGCACCTCAAGCAGCAATATGTTAAACTGACCAAGCAAGAGCTCTGAAAGGACCCCCGAACACACACACACACACACACACACACACACACTCGCTGCACCGTACCTTGTCGAGAAGTTCGTCGGTCGCCACCCGTCGACGCCGCATGATGTCCCTGCACTTCTCATCAGCATCCCTGAGCGACCATCATGCAACAATAGCAGTACAGACAAAGTCAGATCAAGTATGAATCATGATGAATCATGTGTGTCGCAAAAGAAGGATCCACGAGCGGGATTCAAACCCAGCACCCCTGTCCTTCCGGGACAGTGCCCTTGTCGTGATTACATCACGAAGTTGTACACAATATCATGTGTAGGTTTGTGTGACGTTATCGTCCACGTAGCATTAGCCCTTTTGTTTTGTTTTGATTGTTTTATGGGTTTTACCTGTTTACGTCTGTTATCCAATCGTTTAGAAACTATACGAGAGTAATTGTGGAGCGAACCTGAGCAATATTCCGAAAACTATTCTCAAAACATTCCAGCCAAATTTGAAATATTTCAAAAACACTGCGCGTCTATAGTTTTGAAATGGACTGTAGTCGCAACATAAATTGGTGCCGGAACCATGTCCGAGTATCCAGGGAGTCTCCGAGTTTTAGCAAATAAAATTATTGCAATGTATTCTACTGTCCACGATGACGATACGAAGTGCCAACGTTTAGTTTCAGAAAGTTATCCATCTGACGACGCAGACCAGTGGGTCGGGATCCGGACCCAGTTTTGTGAACAGCATAGAGATGCCCTCAAGAAGTTAGATGCTGACCTAGATAAGTGCGGGGCTGAGTTATACGATTTCTTGGCTAGTGGAGCAACTCAAAAAAAGAAAAAGAAAGAAGATGAAGAAGAGTATGAAAATATGGCCAGTACGTTACCGTCGTACTTCAAAAATCTGTCCCTGCTGAGTGCTCAAGCCAACAGAGCCACAGCCAGCGCCAGTGCCCAGAATACCAGTACCAGCAGTCGAGCACCTGGAATTGACGCCCAGCAGCTGCTGACAATGCACACCGCAACTCAGCAACAAACACAGCAGTTGCTGTCAGCCATTGGGAAGCACACCAGCACGGTTGGCCAGCTGGCGGCCAACTCAGCACAGCCTGCACAGAGTGCTCATGGATCTGTAAAATTGCCCGTGCTCACAATCAGGAAGTTTGATGGTGACATACTTCATTTCACTGAGTTCATTGACATGTTTCAATCTGCGATCGGTACAAATCAAAGCCTGTCTGCCGTACAGAAACTGTCGTATTTGAGAAGTCATTTGACAGGCATGGCCCTGGATGTTATTGCCGGTATTCCCACCACCGATTCAAATTACCCCGTGGCGTTAGGATTATTGAAGGATCGCTTTGGCAAGAAGGATGCCATCATCGCAGCCCGATACCGCGCAATTACCGAAATGCCAGCGCCATCAAATAAACCTCACATGTTGCGGAGATTTACAACGAGGTGGAGGCTAATTTGCGCTGTTTGCAAGCGGAAGGTCAAAGTGTGCAACAGGAACTGCTGATTCCTGTCATCACTTCAAGTTACCAAAGTGCGTCATCGTACAACTTGAGACACAGAAACCCCACAATCAGAGTTGGACTGTTGATGAGCTGCGGAAACAGCTGGGAATCTACCTGGAGGTCCGTGAATCGGCCGAGCGACTGGCAGGAGACACAGCCAGCAAACCAGAGAGCACTCTGCCACGACCACCGCCTGTTTCCGCACAGCCTCATGCTGCCTACTCCCAACCTCCGGCCACGGCAGCCACGTTAGTTAGCTCTGTGCGGCGCGCCACTCCGAGATGCTTCTTCTGCAAGTTGCAACACTTCTCGGACACCTGCCCAACGTCCAACACGGTTTCTACCAGACAGCAGCAGCTACAAGACCACTGCTTTGTATGCTTACGGAAGGGACATTAGGCAAAGGACTGTACTGCTAGAAGACCCTGCTATCACTGCAATCTATTGACCCATCACCGTGCTCTGTGCCCTCAGAAATTTGGCTCATCACCAGTGTCAGCTACCGCAAGTACCTTCTATCCTACTCAGCAGCAGCAAGCGCCACAGAAACATACTACCGCTACGGTGCATGTTCAGTCCAAAGGCGTGAATCTCCCAACCGCCATTGCAACTGTCGCCGGGCAAGGCAACGTCTCAGACTGCCGACTGTTGCTTGACACCGGCTCAACTCGCACATTTATTCATGAATCGTTAGCTGCCTCTGTCAACGCAGCTGTTGTCGGTGAAGACGTGTTGTCCATCGCTAGTTTTGGATCTGCGTCCCGGCGAACGGTCACCCTGCCGAGAGTGGAGTTTTCCCTCCTATGTCGAGATGGATCAGCCTTGCCCGTAACCACCAATGTTATGCCGTGGATTTGTTGTCCCGTTGTCAAATCCCAAATCGACATCGACCAGTACCCTGAAGTCAAGAACATCCAACTAGCTGACACCATTGTCACCAAGCGTGAGTAGGTAGATATTGACCTCCTTATTGGCACGGATTTCTACTTCTCCATCATGGGCATCGGTCACATCCAACTCAACAATGGCCTGGTCTTGCTGAACTCCAAATTGGGATTTGTCCCAGCAGGCCCTACTGACACCGAGACAGATGACACTGTGGGCCACATCATGCTCACAGATGCTACCACCTTGCCAGACCCAGTGTTTGATCTCCAACGTTTCTGGCGACTTGAAGATATTGGTATCAGCGATGACATCAGTGATCCGCAGACAGCGGACGACATTGCCCTGGAACACTTTCGCAGCTCCTTGCAACTGATCAACGGCCGATATATGGTATCTTGGCCATGGAAAGATAGCCATACTCCACAACCTAATCTACCATAGAACTACGAGCTCGCCTTCGGCCGTCTCAAATCCTTAGTCAAACGACTCCAGCAGACACCACAAGTGCTTGAGAAGTATCATTGTACCATCACAGAGCAGTTAGCCAATGGCATTATCGAGGAAGTGAACCTTGATCACCAGGATGGGCCGATTCACTACATCCCCCACCACTGTGTTGTTCGCCCCAGCAGTACCACAACAAAGGTTCGTGTGGTATATGATGCTTCCGCCAGAACTCGCGCAGAACACAACAGCCTGAACGACTGCCTGCATCGAGGTCCGGTACTTCTGCCGGATCTGTGTGGTATCCTGGTGAGATTTCGGCTACACCCCATTGGCATTGTTGATCACTCGTTGGACCGGAGGGAATTCATACTTGTCAATTGAAATGTGGGCGATCATGCCAGCCAGCACAGCTCTCTCCACCCAATGTGTCCCCCCCCCCCCCCACACACACAGAGAAATAAATAAATAAAGAAAGAAAGAAAGAGAGAGAGAGAGAGAGAGAGAGAGAGAGAGAGGGAGGGAGGGAGAGAGAGAGAGAGAGGGAGAAAGAGAGAGAGAGAGGAAACACTCTCCCAACTCGGCCCGGCCAAGCCTTGAATATTTTGTGATTGGTACTAGGTCCAGAATTCTTCCCTTATGTTTTGAGACGGAGTACAAAAAGGACGAAGAAGAACTGCTTACAAACTAAGTATAGCAAGGTGGATATATTCTCACCTTTGTATGTGTTGCTTGGCAACAGCAAACTCAGCTTGCAGAGCCAGAGCTCGCTCCGTCTGCTCTTCGACTGCCTTGCGATAACGGTCTTCCAAACGCTGTCCAAATGCTCGGGTCTGCTGAAGAGCGTCGTCAAATGTTTGCTTTGAATCGTCAGATCTGGGCAATATGGTTTACATACACACACAGACACACAGGCACATGCATGCACACACACACACACACACACACGTTCTCACACAAAGACACACACAGACATAGCCACACAGATAGAGACGGAGACAGCGAAACAAACAGACACTCAGTGCATAGGAACAGAATGTCACGCTAGCGAAATCTCTATCCTAACCAAGAACAACAACGAGGTACAGTTCATTTCTTCAGACCTTTCCCATTTCACCTCCCTCAACCTTATCAATGCAGTTCATAACCTCTACTCTTCGAATGTGATGTCATCACATTCGAAGAGTGGGACTTGGCACTGCTCTCCTACCGTAAGAGTAACGTGACACATATCCAAGATCTACATGACTTGATAATTGGGGAAATTTTTTTATCCAGCCACCAGCTTCTACTCTTGAAAATACCGCCATTCCGGCAACAGGCTCTCAGCTGCACCAAATAGATGAATAAATAACTTTGCCAATATTTCGCCCATTGGGCATCATCAGCCCCTGTTGCCGGAATGGCGGTATTTTCAAGTGCAAGAAATACGCTGCAATGCAGTTTGGGAATTTTGAAGAAACACCAGCGTCTACTGTCATGAAAAAGGTCAATTTTTATCTGGATGTGTAGCTTGGCCTTAAAAAAAATACATGATGCATATGTGACATTCCAAGATTGTAATTTATGTATAGCGTAGTCTTCCCAGCTTGTTGTCTTTCCCAAGTATTTTTAGTTTTTTTTTACCCAAGTTTACGGTTTCATACAGATCCCCTCTCACAGGTTCAAACCCCAGACTCAGCAGCCCATTCCTGTTTTCTTTCACTGTAGACTCTGATGATGTAACGGCACCCATCTTGGATTCTTTATGCTAATGTACAAACGTGTCTCGGATACTGAGCCAGTAATAAATGTAAAAAAAAGAGAAGAAAACACACGAGAACGAGGTATGCAGCAACTTGTCAGTTTTGTGCCCTATTATCGCACCTTCTGACTGTTTATCATCTTGTTACAGTCGTGGATAGTTGCTACATAATTCATTCTCACGTGTTTTCTTCTCTTTTTTTTTGCAAACTTTTCTGTTCTTTTTTTGTTGTTCTTCTTTTTACTTCACTTGAGTGTGGTTTTGGGTTGGGGATGTCCCAGAAACAATGATGCCAGTGCTGTTGTGGCTAGAAACTAACTTGTACTACAGTACATTGGGAGAATGTTACACATGGTGGTAGCAGTATTTACTATTATTTTATCTAAAAGATTAAGTTATATTTTGAACTCACTCCCGACCGAGAGGAAAGTGTAGTTGTGTTCCACAGTGCTGAGTAAGCTTCCGCAAGATGGCCAATCGTGGTCAGGGCAAGCAACAGCCGCAGTGCTTGGGCTCTACCAGAAAGGTTTACTGGGGCACCAGGATCAGATTGACAAACTTGGCATCTGCATTTCGACAATGTCAGGCAGGCAAACAATTGGACGCCAGCTGATCAGCTGGCCTATATTGGTCTGTATCTATCAGACACTGCGCAATCGTACTATTATAGCCTTCCTGCTGAAACACGACAACAGTTGCCAGCCCTTCTGCAAGCGTTGGATCAGCGTTTCGCAGCTCCCCTGCATGTCGATCGCCACAGGTCTGAATTGCAGACTCGCCGCCAAAACCAAGGAGAGTCTGTATCCACGTATTGTGAGCAAATTCGGATACTGGCCTTGTTGGATGCTGGTGTTGGCGACTTACTGGCAAAGGATCAGTTTCTTAATGGCTTGGATGCCGTAAGTGAGGACAGCAGCCCCGGGAACTCTGGACGATGCTTTACAGCGGGCTTTCCACATATCCTCCATATTGGGAAACCGAAAGTATGCATAACCCACGAGCAACACAAGTTCAACCTGTGTATGCTGTGAACCGCAGGGATATGCCAACCTCTCGCCTGGAAGATACTATGCAGCGACTTATTGACAGGGTTGCTGCCCTAGAGACATCATTGTCGACCACTGCTACTGGAAGTCGAAGCACACCCAGGGAAAGTGTACCAGATTGCCGATGCTTTGTGACAGCAAAATGCACCTGAATGCCCAGTGCCCACATGCTGGGCCCACGTCCCAATGTTACACAACAGCCCAATACACAGAGCTGCTCAGCAGTCGGCTTGTCTTGTGACGGCAGTGTAGCGATAAAATTCCCAGAAGAGCGGTGGCATGCGAAACCCAACGACTAGCTCGAGACCCGTGTGGCATGAGTTACCATGGCGACCGGGTGCACTGAGCTAGTTCTCACAGCAGCCAAGCACTACAGACGGCTTGACCCAGGGTGCAGAAAGTGTGGGCCAGTGATTGGATTTACGGGGCAGCAACGTGGGGAAACATCGCGGGCAATACTTTTTCACATTCTCCCTAAACACTCGGATATTTTTCCTACGTACCAATGCCGCAATGTTATTCAAAGTGATGACAATCAGGAGAAAACATTCTTGGAACACTTGCTCACCTACTTTACCTTGATGTGTGTATAGAATACGAGTGCACAGTTGATCTTTTTTTTTATTGCCAAAAAGCCAACAACAATGTGATCACGCTTTCCCGCCAACTGACTTGACACTTGACTGACTCACGACTCACGTCAATCAGCGAAAAGGACGAGCTCCAGTGTGGGGAGCACCTTTCCTATAAAATCATCGCCGAAGTCGCTACCACTATCTTATGACCATGACATTGGTACATTGTTTCTCACTATAGCAATGCTCTCAAACTCAAGCTTACCTGTCTGGCTCCATTTCGGCTCGGATCATAGTGTTGGTGCGCTTGGAGAGGTTGCGGTGACATACCAGAAAGTGTTCAACCAGAGGGCTACGTCCCTTCATGTCAAATATCACACGCCGGTAGTCGGCGTCTGATCCTATCGTGTGCGACTGCGTGTGACACAGAGTTACACACAGTCACATGCAGACACAGGGAATGGGTGTTAGTGTTAGTAGGGGGGGGGGGGGGGAGAGAGAGAGAGAGAGAGAGAGAGAGAGAGAGAGAGAGAGAGTGTGTGAGAGAGAGAGAGAGAGAGAGTGAGAGAGAGAGAGAGAGAGAGAGAGAGAGAGAGAGACATGGACACACACACACACACACACACGCATGCACACGTTCAAGAAAAATGTCAACGACCACTTGCGGCGCAGCAAGTGGAAGTGGGCCACAGATAGGCTATGATCTCTCCATCGCAGCCAACACACCAGCCTAATTATACTGACCGCACTCCAGCTCCCTTCTACCCCTCTTTGATCCCCTTCGCTCAGCCTTAAAATCCGATTATCAGTTATCTCCATCTTCCTACGGTGCACTGCTTTTACTATTGTTTTGTCCTATCTCAATCTCAAATTCTCCCCATTATCGTTTGCAAAGCCGGTGCTTCCCTCTTGGATGCACAGGTTTCTTTTCTCCTATGTATCGGCGCACAGGAGTAACGATGATTCCGAGACCTTTGATCGGAGGAGTTACTTTTGCCCCGCCCTAACTTCCATCCAATATGCCACCGCCCCCGCTGTGCAGCATCTGATGGTACTGTGGTATTCAGTAAAAAAACAAAAACAAAAACAAAACAAAACAAAACACACACACACACACACACACACACACACACATGCTCATTGTTACCTTGGCCTTCACTTTCTTGTTTCGCTTATTCTGCTCCTCAATACGCTCAGCCTCCAGGTCACTGGCATGCAGCTGCTGTGCTACATGATCAGCAATGGACAGTGGAGCTGATGATGGTCTGGCAGGTTGGTCATCTGTACACACAATGAGCATTTCGACAGTAGTTGATCACTTGTACACGCAATGAGCATTGTCAGAGAGGTTTGGTACCGTATTTTCCGGAGTGCAAAAATGTCACGGTTCGCTTGAGAATCAGACTGAGTTCTCAGTATCCGTAGGAATGCCACCACCCTGCAACGGGCTAAGGCGCAGATGCAGCTCCTAAAGCGGTGGGAGGTGAGTAGATCAGACCCACCGGCAAAGTGATCAAAGACCGAAAACTCGGAGTATAAGTCACACTTTAGAGTTTCTTAACTATAAAGTGTGACTTAAAGGTTAGCAGCCTACCCATAAATTTCATATGGCATTCAATTGACCGTAACTTTGGTGTCTCTCAATGGATTTGAGTGAAATTTTCACCACACACTCCTGCCACTATGCTGGCCCTCTGGACATGATTTAAACGTTCTTGCGCCTCACTGACAGGCTTTCCAGGCCGGAAAAACTCAAAATTCCGGCATAGTGCCACGGTCTGCGAGCCACCCAGGAGCCTAAAACATGCATTTACAATTTGTTGCACATTTTCTTGCCCATTCTGTCCGTGCGCGGGATCCAAACCTAAAAAAAGTCCAGAAGCAGCCATGGGTGGTGAGATAGGGCCCCTCAACGTGGCCCTGGAATCTGTCACAACCCCACGAGTGGGCGTTCTCTCACAGACTCCCACATACCCAAGTCAATTTTTGAATTTTTTTAGGTTTAGGGTGTGCTACGAGGCCGTACCTTTGATACAACATCCAGTGCTGGGACCTCCACAGCAAGCCATTTCCACAGCGCTGCACACCAAATCCAGGACACCCTCAAAATCGGCAAAGACTACCACTCACGTTCCACTACTGCCTAGTACTGAATCCTACCCAGTGTTGCCACATCATTATAGCCAAATATCAGTAGGATGAAAAAAAATTAAAATGCATCATCCGGGGGCTTTGCCCCCGGACCCCCCCCCCCCTCCTTCATAGTAACCCCAATACACAGATACACAGACACACACGGGCGCGGAACTGTTAAGAAAACCTTTCACGGCTTTGCATGAGACTCAGGCTGAGTTTGCCGATTTTCCCCGGGCAGCTGATGATTCGCTTAGCGCCTTAGGAGAGAGCTATGGAAACACTCGTGATGAGCAGTAATAGCCAAAAATCTGGACCATGACTTCTAAACCAAGCACAAGGGCAAACTTGGATACTTTCATGGCTGTTGTCGGCAGGAGAAGGTCAATTGTCAGCAGGTCATTACAGGCCTCAAAAATCGGCAGGCTACTGACATGTCGGCAGGTGTGGCAACACAGATCCTACCCGACTTCTTGACACGACTCAAACTTGCCAAAGTCACTAAATCAACGTCTACTACAATAATCAAGCCACATATCTGCAACGTCAGAGGGTGCTGGCAAAAGTCCTGCTGCACGTGGCTAAAAAACGTGATTTTTTGGACTTGGAGCAAAATTCTGCACACTTTCGCGTGTTTCTATGATACGACAAGTTGCGCACGGTCTGCTCAGATTCAAAAACAGTGCTGCCAAAAAATGACAGAGCGCAACAAAAAATCTTTCCTTGCAAGGGCACATTTTCGGCCATAACTCTTGAACGGCTGGTCAGATCGAGGCAACATTTTCAGAGATTTTGCAGCTATTCATGCTCTTTCAACTGATGTAGCACTCGATATGAATTTACAAATTCGACTTTTTAGGGATTTTACGACCAGTCTTCCCCCTTAAACACCGGTAATTCACCCAAAAAAAGTTGGTGCGGCTTATACTACGATAGTCAAATCAACGGTGGTAAAGAGGGAAAATGTCCGTATTTCGTGACCAAAAATCTGGGTGCGGCTTATACTCCAATGTGGCATATACGGCAACTGATCTGGCTCATTAGACATTGTATGGCCGCACTACCTTTCACTTTTCACACAAGGCAATATGCTTTTAAAATACTGTATATTATAAGTACAAATTTTCGTTTGGAATTAGCTTTCGCTATATTCATTAGGGGGCACGAAATAACTAAAGTTTGTACCAAACTAAAGTTTTTTTTCTGAACGTTCTGGGTGATAGACCTCGACCAAAAAAAAACTAAATTTAGCACGTAACGAACCTGCTGGTCGAGTGATCTAACGAAAGATTTCGTGAACGGAAATTTGTACTTCTACAGCATCGATGAAGGTGGGATGGAGGACAAGGTGCATTCAAAACACACACGATACCTGTACACAAACTCATGGGATTGCATGTTGCTGCATGCCTGACCGCTCACTTCTTTCAACATGGCAATGTACACACATTCATACAGCTAGTAAAGTCTGTGTTCGCACTGAACTACGGGAAAACCAGCAGGCGGGGCATGGCATGTCACAGTACCATCTGTGCGTGTGTTTGTGTGTGGGCCAATGGGGCATCATCAGTGCAAGTACGAGCTGACATGAGCAGATCTGGGAAGCAAGTACGCTCATACCTCAGTTATCCAGACCCCGAAGTTACGGGCACTTCCGTCCACCGGGCACCCTTTGGGCAAGTTCCAGTGGAAATATTACTACTCTTTTTGTCACATTTTGTGGAAATAATGACGTCATATGCCATATCTATGGCCTTTCCCCATCAAAATGTATGTGATTCGGAGTTATGGACATTTCAAAGTTACGGGCAGTGCCCGGTCCCGGACCACCCGGATAAACGAGACATGAATGTAGTAATGTCCATAACTCCGAATCGCATACATTTTGATGGGGAAAGGCAATAGATATGGCATATGACGTCATTATTTCCACAAAAGGTGACAAAAGAGTGGTAATATTTAGACTGAATCTCACTCAAAGGGTGCAAAGAGTAGTAATATTTAGACTGAATCTCGCTCAAAGGGTGCAAAGAGTAGTAATATTTAGACTGAATCTCGCTCAAAGGGTGCCCAGTAATATTTAGACTGGAATTCGCCCAAAGGGTGCCCGGTAGGCCGAAGTGCCCGTAACAAAGAGGGTCCGGACAACCGGAGATATGCGTGTACTTGGTATCAGCACGGTACACTGGACAGAGTACTGCACAATCCTTACTCTTGCCGTTGGCTGCCGCTCGCTTGCGCTGTGATGACACTGGTCTGGCACTGGGATGTCGCCTGCCGGACGTCGCTCTCGGCTGACCTGCGGTGGCACGTTGCAGTGCGCTGGTAATACGCTGCTGTGCCACCCCCACTGCAGCTGCAGTCGTTGTTGTCGTTGTCTGATCGTGCGGTTTGAGCGGTGGCAGCAGGTCGAGATTCTGCAGGGCCTTGCGATACAACACAATGTTAGTGTCGGAGGGGATGTGTGCAACGGGACGGCACACGCCCAGCTTACTCAGCGGCCACTGGGACCAGTGAAAGCGCGGCGGACACACAATACCTGGTGTGAACACAACACACATGCACACACACAACTTTAAAATCAATTTGTATTTTTGAATTTGTCAGTTCATCTCCCTGATGACGGAGCAGCATAACATGTGCTCTGGCTGAATGAAAAAGTGAAGTACTTGGAGAAAGAAAGAAAAAAAGATTGGTGGGATACGTATTTTCCCTGCAAAGATAACATGTACCGGTATGCACGCACGCACGCGGGAACGCACCAATGAACATGCCCCCCCCCCCACACACACACAGACACAGAGATCTTTACCAGATATCCACTGCCAGATAGTGTTAGCCACATCCGTCCTGAAGTCATCATCAAAGAGGCCGCGGGACGACGGGAACATTCGACAGAACGAATACAGCAGAGATTGAGAGAGGCAGTGAGGGTATAACTGTAGGACAAGACAACATCATAGACAACAGCACAGACAACAGCACAGACAACAGCATAGACAACAGCACAGACAACAGCACAGACAACAGCACAGACAACAGCACAGACAACAGCATAGACAACAGCACAGACAACAGCATAGACAACAGCACAGACAACAGCACAGACAACAGCACAGACAACAGCATAGACAACAGCACAGACAACAGCACAGACAACAGCACAGACAACAGCACAGACAACAGCATAGACAACAGCACAGACAACAGCATAGACAACAGCACAGACAACAGCACAGAAAGATACTATTCAAATTTCATGTACACAGCCTCCAAACAATCTACAAACTGTAAAATGGCTAATTTTGACAGGGAAAACTTATATGCCGTGGTTGGCTATCACGCCTCTCTCGCACTTTGTGTGCCAATTGGTCATGTGCCACGAGTTGAGTGTAATAAATAAACAAAATTTAATACATAAAAACTCGGATGTTGAGCCAATAGTAATATGGAAAGAGAAAAAGACCTAGAAGTTAGTCGAATGTCTCAATATCCTTGTGAGTTTGCGCCTTGTTCTCGCACTATCTGACTGTATATGATCTCGTTACCTTGGTGGACTGTTAGTCATAACTAGTAACTTATAGGTCTTTTTCTCTTTCCATATACAGGTCCTCCCTCATTATAACGAGTCCGGTTAGTACATAAACCCCGTTAGGGGTCGTCCGTATTTTTCGAAAAATTAAAAAATCCGTCCTCAGGCAGAAAGGGGGTGGGTGGTCAAGAGCGCTGGCGGAATTTAATTTTTTGATTTTTCGTACTTTTTTTTTTTTTTTTTCGTCAGTGACTTCATACACTTGTTGCACTGACATGTAGTGCACTGTAGACGTAGTGTAGGATCGCAAACACCAGCATGATATACCGGTACATGACTCTTTTGTAGGACGTGCATGGCCGTCGGTAGACCTCCTACTCACTTTACTTAGCTACTAGTACTTGACATACATGTACATGTACATGTACATGTACATGTAGGTGCAATCAGTGAACATGGGGTCAGGAGTCAGGAGTTCTTATTTTCGAGCTGGGCAACGGTAAAAATCAAAAAATTAATGGGAAAAAATGGGAGGTGGGTGGGTGGGTCAGAGACAATTTTGCACGAGGACGGATTTTTTAATTTTTCGATAATTACGGACGACCCCTTAGTAAATAGAAATCTGAAATCCCTTGGCGAAACGTGGTCTATACAACTGTTTACAGGTCCGGTTACAACATAATCGGTTAGTACATAAAATTCGTAATACCGACCCTTTGCCCAGGTCCCTGGAGTGCCAAACCCTCAGTATAAGATAATACTGACCATGCAGGACCAAGGCCAAAACACGTACTTGGTCCGCCAAGTTAAAATTGGCGCTTATCTTCTCACTTGGTTTTTGGTGTTCTGCCTGTGCCACACGGCATGGAACCACCGATTCACCATCCGAACATAACCATTGACCATTGCATCCGACGACATGGCAGCACAAACCATCACAGAAGTTGCGATCGGTTCGTTTGAGTCTTTTTGACGGAGCTGCCGCCGACGAACACTTCCGTCAGCGCAAGAAAACACTGCAACCTCCGCTCGAGTCCGTAAAATAGGTCAGGATGTTCGCATTTCAGAGCGATGGAGAATTCAGTTTCTGTCTACTTCCAGCTGTCTATGTATAATAAATGTAGTAGCCTCAGGATTTATTGCAATTATATGGTATGTAATTGCAATAAATCCTCCACCTCTACATTTACTATAATTATACATATAAATAAATAAGTACATGTAATATTTAACTCGGATGGTGAGCCAATTAAATAATTGTGAAAAGAAGAAGGACAAAATCAGTCATAACTCGTAACATTTCGTCCTTCTTCTTTTCACAAGTACATGTAAATAAATAAATAAATAGTCGACGAGGAGATAACCGTAAGATAGTGAAGACGAAGAACTGTTTGTTTTGACAAACATGTTAGTCACTTAGAAGTTGTTTGTTTTGACAAACATGTTACTCACTTAGAAGTTGTTTGTTTTGACAAACATGTTACTCACTTAGAAGTTGTGACTTCGGCGGTATTAGTCATGCCTCGTTGGAACAACCAACTTCATGACATGAAACTCAGTTGATTCAATGTCTAATTCCTCTTTGTACTTCTGAACTGTACAACTGCTACGCAGTACTTTCCGTTTTAGTAATAATTAGGCTTCATCAATGTTCTCTCCGTTCAAGTAATTTATTTGCGTAGTAACGGACTTTTGAATCGTTATCTTTTGAATCTTGGTCTGCTGCGGACTGTGCACGTGTTTCTGTACATCAGTAGTATACGCTAGCGTTGTACATCTTGTATGATGAATTTGTACGTGCATGCATGCAGGCATGCCAGCTTGTATTTCTGAGGGTCTTTTGGGGTTTTTAGAGTTTGTTGGTCATGGAGGTTTGCTTCGACTTGTAATTCATATTTTGCTCTCCCAATATAATTATAATGAAAATCTACTCGTGTAACCAATAATGGTTGTTGAGGTTGCGCTGATGTGGGGTTTCACGGGGTGAACGAGCTAGTTTGGTAACAAGTGGTGCCGAAACCCGGGAACGAACACTAACAGTCAGTTGAGGAACTGGAAACTGGAGTTGTGACAGTACGAGTACTGGTCATCTTGTCAGTGAAACTGGAAAATTTTGTGAAGCCCTACAGAGGTAGGCCAGAGGAGTCATGGGACACCTTCTGGGAAAAGTTCGTAGTATTGGCAGATGTGTTTGGATGGACGGACGAGGCTGCAATGATGAAGCGCTTGCCTTTGTTTCTGGAAGGTGACGTATTCCTTGTGTTCAGTAAAATGGAAAACGCTGACAAGGAGTCCAAGGACAAAGTAGCTGCGGCTATGCTGAAGTCCTTTGGAGCGTCCAAGAGTGTAGCGTATAGATCCTTTACGACCAGGCGGCTGCGAGAAGACAAGAGTGTGGATGCTTTTGTGGCAGATTGGAGACGCCTGCTGATCATGTCTGGTCACACTGACACCGGCGATAACGATGCTATGGTCATCGAGCAGATGCTGGCAGGTGTACCGATTGATATTGCGCAGCAAACCCGGTTGGCCTTCGCTGGAAAGGAGATGACGGTGACGGGATGTGCTGATGCAGTTCGAGCACTCGTCTCAGTCCAGTCACCGTCAAGGAGTGTGGCTGCTGTCGCTACCAGTCGGCGTACTGGTGGATTGTGTTATACGTGCGGTGAGACTGGGGCGAGTGACCTGAGCAGTTGGGCAGAGCAGTTGTCACGACGTTCTGCAAGTATCCGCGACCTAATTGATGAAGAGCTGTCTTCTGCCGATTTCGTGGAACAACCAGATCCCTGCCCGTATGCAGTTGGCGATGCCATTCTCTTGGAAGTGGGTGTACGACGCCAGAAGCGTCTCCCTCCCTTTAAGCCTGGCTGGTATATTTCTCGTATCATATCGAAGTCTACCGTCGTGATCTCTAAATCTGGCCGACTTGACAAGGTCATCAACATAGACTCTATTAAGCCTGATCCCATTCCGCTAGCCGACCCTGAATGCAGTCTACAAACCTCAGAAGATTCCTGTAATGTCTCTGACAGTGAGACTGACGAGGGTGTGCGCATTGAAATCAATGTGGGTCATGCAGTGGATGTGCCAGATCACGCTCCGCATGGCTTGCGGAATCGTAGCACCTAGCAAGCCCCTCATCGCTATCGTGAGTAACAATAAGTTTTAAATGTACTGGAGTAATGTTGTCAGGTGATGGAGTGAAGAGGAAGAACTGCTTGTTTTGACAACATGTTACTCAGTTGATTCAATGTCTAACTCCTCTTTGTATTTCTGAACTGTACAACTGCTTTCCAGTACTTTCCGTTTTAGTAATAATTACGCTTCATCGATGTTCTCTCCGTTCAAGTAATTTATTTGCGTAGTGACGGACTTTTGAATCGTTATCTTTTGAATCTTGGTCTGCTGCGGACTGTGCACGTGTTTCTGTACATCAGTAGTATACGCTAGCGTTGTACATCTTGTATGATGAATTTGTACGTGCATGCATGCAGGCATGCCAGCTTGTATTTCTGTGGGTCTTTTCGGGCTTTTAGAGTTTGTTGGTCATGGAGGTTTGCTTCGACTCGTAATTCATATTTTGCTCTCCCAATTTATAATGAAAATCAGTAATGAAAATCTACTCGTGCAACCAATAATGGTTGTTGAGGTTGCGCTGATGTGTGGTTGCACGGGGGCGAACGAGCTAGTTTGGCAACAATAGCTGTGAACAAAACGAAACCCGTGCTCATGTCACACAACAAAGTAACAACATTGAGAACATTTTCCATTGATGAATGTGACAAGAAAACATTCCGGAGTTAAACCACTGTCACTTTGTTGTTTGACATGAGCACGGGTTTCATTTTGTGCAAAACTTATAACAACCGATTTTACAAATTGGTGTGGAATTTATGTGCGGCAAGAGCTGCATAATTCACCTGAAACATATCGTCCCGGTATTCCTCCATGCTGGGCGAATCCAGCATCCATACAAACGTGTCGGCAATGCGTGAGAAGAGCAGGTCCTGATTCTCTGCATCTGGCTGCAAATAGAGAAACACAGGGCAGAAGAGAGAGAGAGAGAGAGAGAGAGAGAGAGAGAGAGAGAGAGAGAGAGAGAGAGAGAGAGAGGGAGGGAGGGAGGGAGGGAGAAAGGAAGGGAGGAAGGAAGGGAGGAAGGGAGGAAGGGAGGAAGGAAGGGAGGGAGGGAAGGAGGGAGGGAAGGAGGGAGGGCAGGAGGTAGGGAGGGAAGGAGGGAGGGAAGGAAGGAGGGAAGGAGGGAGGGAAGGAAGGAGGGAGTGAAGGAGGAAGGGAGCGAAGGAGGGAGGGAGGGAGGGAGAGAGACACAGAGAGAGAGAGAGAGAGAGAGAGAGAGAGAGAGAGAGAGAGAGAGAGAGAGAGAGAGAGAGAGAGAGAGAGAGAGAGAGAGAGAGAGAGTGCATTCTCTTGTCAAACATGTGTTTACAGCAGCCCGTCCATTAGTATTGTGGGTTACCACTATCCAGACACACTCAGAACGTTTGAATTATTCCCGTCATGTCCCGGCAACCTCTTAATGCTGATAGTATAGTAGCTAGGAGACACAGATTTCTTAATTTAAATTTTGTGATTTTGACTTGCACTCTGCTAAGCTGTTCGCTGGCTGGGTTTGGCGTCCACAGAAGTTGGTGGTGTGTCTCTGGCTTGTTTTTTTCGCAATGGACACTTCCCATGCACAGGTACCCCTCTCGTGTTCGTTGGCCAGATTAATTCCAGTTTTGAGCTAGGCTCCAAGACCCGCCACACCATCATCCATGTATACTTCAAGCTGTCTGATGCCCTACTCTCCCGCACATCCCTGTGTGTGCTCGGATTGTGACCGCCCAACTGGCCTTCTGCTTGCCGAGTTGAGCGCAAGCAAGCCAGCACCAGAACCCACCATCGACCAGATTCGCGCCGAGCTGCTGGGGGAGTTTTCAGACGTGTTCGATTCAGAAAGTCTGATTCTCACACCGGCTACTGGCAAATACCATTCAGTGAAGCAGCACGGCCATTGACCACATTTATACCCCACGGCCCGGCCGTTATCAGTACTTGTGTAATCCGCAGGGCCTCATCTTGGCCGGAGATGAATACAACCGCCGTATGAGGACGCCATTCGGCAACATTACAGCACACACACACACACACACACACACACACACAAACACGCACACATACACACACACACACACACATACACATATCCCTCCCCCCCCCCCCACACACACACCCATTCCTTACACTGAAGTGCTCCAGAAAGAACCACCAGAAGACATCCTGCAGGTCAACAACAACATCAACGCCATGGCCAATACACATACACAATTACAGACGGAAAGACACAGAGACACACATGCACACACACACACACACACACACACACACACACACACACACACGATCAGTGGACCCTTTTAACCAGCATGGTTACCATGATAAGAACTGGACACAACAAAGCAAACACATGCGTCTCCACAATACTGCAAGCGAGAGCACTGGCTAAGACTCCTCAAAGACATATTGTGGCAGTAGTGCACACTCGACTATCACAGGCAGACACTGATTGGATGTCTCCATGGCAACCATCACATGATACAACACAGCACAACACCAAGCAGACAGTTGAAACTGCAATGCACATACGTGTACATGTAAGCACACACACACATACACACACACACACACACACGCACCACACGCACCTGTAAGAGGAGTATGGACATTTCGTTTGTCATCACTTGCCGCCATTTCCGCTTGAAATCGTCCTGACAGGGGCAAAGACACACAATGCACATGTGTATCAAAGGAAGGAACTCGTCTTCTAGCTTACAGACACCCTTTTTGACAGCTTTGGGGCAAGGTTGAAGGTGCACTCCGAAGGAAATTACGTCCAGGCTGCAACCATTGTTTTGGTTGGGAGGGTACCGGTCTTTGCAATCATATTTATTCATTTTATTATACTAAAGTATATAGACAACACCTGGCACGTCAAAAGACAGCCAATTATTCTGTTGAGATGAAGGGTGAGAGTCAACTATGGCAGAATAGAGCATACAGAGAGGGAGGAGAGAGAGAAAAGAGAGAGAGGAGGAAGATATGAATCATTCTTTACTTGCACACCCATACTTACTGACACCTCAAGATGGCTGACGGGCTCGCTGAGCAGTTCTGCTGGCTCAACCACCACTGGCAAGCTAGTTACTTCGCCCACGTCAAAACCCGGATACTTGACCGACTAGCGCCGGGTGACCATGGTGCACACAGGCAGTTGCGTGAAGAGAGGAACAAATAAGCAGACACAGAGAACATGGCATAAGATGCTTAATTCGAATCGAATGTTCGGTCGACCAACATCACTCCAGAGCAGAGCGCAGGGAGTTGTTTGAGCTGACAGCTGAGAGTTTCGCTACCAGATAGATGTACAGGCTTAGGAATTTGGTTAAGAATCGAAAGAGTTCTGCCCCGTGGTGTTCACCCTGCATACAATGCCATTCATAGATCAATATCAAACTATGGGCACCGACGGCTTTGAACTACTCTGCAAGTCTGTGACACTCCAGCAATGAACATGACAGTAAATACTGACTCGCTATCCTGCCATTGAAAAATAGCTAAATTTGCACTTCCCCAGCATAGTCACCAGAAGAGAAGACATGGCTTACAGAGATGCCGCGTGGTTGATCACCGTGTCTCCCTCGCCTCCCTGCGCCGGGTCTCTGCCGAGCACCTCCACCAGCACCTCCCCTGGTGCCGTGCATGGCTCCACTGGCGACGGTGGTGGCCATGGCTGTGTCCATTCTCCCCAAACCACCCGGTGCAACAGCCTCCTCAGGAACAGATGGCTGAAGAATACCTGAACAAACCAAAGAAACACAGAACAACCCCAAGAGAGAGAGGGGGAGAGAGAGAAGGAGAGAGAAAGAAAGAGAGAGAGAGAGAGAGAGAGAGAGAGAGAGAGAGAGAGAGAGGGGGGGGGAGGGAGATGGTACAATAAATACATCATGGGAGGCCAAGTTGACTCTCACCAGGTAAAGTCAAAGGTATGCAGCACCACATGCACATATACAGGGAAAAGATTAGAGCTGGTACACTATTGAACTGAGCACTTCCAGGCAGCTTAGTTTTAGTCTACACTGTACTTGCGATAAATCCTGCCCCATTTAGTCACACATTCCCGATAAGTCCACACCTTTGTAAATGGTACAGCATGTTTGTGTGTGTAAGTCCACAGTGTCTTCATAAATCACACACTTGCGATAAAGTCGCGCAAGCTTGCCACCAGGGCTAACTGCATTACTTTTCGAGCAAAGACAGTGGGTAAAAGGCAATTATGCCTGCAGCCATACTCCTACGCTCTATGTTTTTGTTTTGTTTTTTGTTTTTGTTTTTTTTTTTTTTTGCACCATAGAATTTCAAGCCTCTTTTAGGGGAGAAAATTAACACAATGGATAAAATGCAATACAATATACACTGGAGAAGAAAACAGGAGAATGCATGTGTAAAATAAAGATCTACATGTATGTTCCACATATCAATTCAAGCACAGCCGCCCACCACCACAATCAGGCTGACAGCAGCAGCAGCAGCTTACCGTCACCAGCAGCAGCAGCGCTCTGTGCCGCTGTTGCCGTGACGACGCTGGAGTCGCGGGACTCACCGCCGCCGCCACCTCCCCGTGTGGCAAGGCGCGTCACGCCGCGCACACCTCTGCTAGGTCCGGTCATGATATGCAGCTGGTTAATCTGCTCAATCAACGCGTCGATGTTCGCCGCCAACCTTTCCAAATCGGAGAAGTCCAGCTCTGAAGCCAGAAGCAGGGAAAAGAAGTGCGACACATGTTGGAAATGTGCTGGAAAGTTGCACAACACATATCATGCACATACTGGAAGAGACGTGTACTCATTAAAAGTGGAAGAACTGCCACCCATCTCTTGATCAGTATTATTTTCATTCATGTTTCCGCGTTCCCTTATCAAGTGCAGTACAGACAGCTAGAACCAATGAATGGTGTGGATGAAATAGCACCACAAGGGTGACAAGTTGATAACCATTACAACTACATGTAAGTGACTTCTTGTCTCTCCCTCCCCCCCCCCCCCCCCTTATTATCTTGTAACAGTCGTGGATAGTTGCTTCATAACTCGTTTCCATGTGATTTCTTCTATTTTTTAAATTATATTCACTGGCTCAGTATCCGAGTCCCGATAATTAGAAGTTTTTTTCTCTCTGGCGTTTTAGGATTCGAATCATCAGGATTCCACCCATACTAATACAGGCCAATCATCCCGGTTTTCCCGGGGAAATCCCGGGAAAACAACATTACTCCCGGGATCCCGGGGATTTCAAGCAAACTCCCGGAAAAATCACGTTTTTGTCTGATCCAGGTTTTTCCTGAAAACTCCAGTGACTCGCCTCCAATGTCTCGGTTTTTCACAAATATGTACGGTGTGCACTCGCATTTGGAACTCTGCACGGAACTTTCAAGACCTGACCAGCCTAGCCTGCATGATCTGCACCGACAAGGACGCTGGGCACCCGCCGACTGATCGAACTGTAATGCAGGGTCAAACTGTGCTGTACGGAGAGTCCAGAATCCTGTGCCGTCGAACGTTTTTGTTGGCGGGAAAAGCTCTTTTTCACGTGTTTTCGTGCCATCCTGGGATTTTGAGAGAATTCCAGGGATTCCGCATGTCTTGTCCAGGGATTGAGATTTTGGTGGTTGGTCAGTATGTGTACTACTGGTTTTCTTCTTCGGTTGCCTCGTTCTTCTACAGCTTTGCTGATGGGGCTTGAGGCTTGTAAGCAATACCAATAGCAGCAGAAGTCAATAAGTAACGACTTCTGGGTCAAAAATGTCCACGTGGATCCACAGGCCCAGTGCGAAGCACAGTGTCTTGCAGTTAGGCGGGCCGACCCTGGTGTCAAATGCTGCTATAGATTTTTGAACCAGCAGCCACAGTGCCCCCGGGCAGGAGGGTCTAGTTCAATCACTACGGGGGGGGGGGGGTACGGGTGGATATCTCAACCCACCATGAAGGAACCTACCCAAGCGGGTAGACCCACACAAAAGCTGGATCCGTGTGTCTTTGCCGAAATCCACCGGGACTCGAACCCGGGACCTTTGTTATAGACCAGTGACGGTCGAAAACTACAACACTGGTAGGTTGTGGCGTAGTCGTCATTCCAGCAAAGACAGTTCAACTTTTTTTTAGACTTTGAAACTGCTCACGCTTCTTGTGAACTCACACAGGCTGCTGCAGTGTCTACTCTAGGATTTCAAACCAACCTGGTACACGTGTACCTGGTACAACTCGTCCAACCGGGTCAGAGCCGGGTACGTTCAAGTGCGGCTACTGCATGTACATCAGGGAGTCGTAAATATTTGAGGGCTCCCTGATGTATAATAATTACTATTTTCCCAACCGGGTCACAAGTGACCCGGTGTTCTTTTCCAAACAGGTCCAAGTACCCCCAACCGGGTCGCTGGCCCGGCTCTGGAGCAGACACTGTCAGCTGGGATGAAATCCTCATAATGTGTACACATACACACACACACGTACACACACACACACACACACACACACACACACACACGTACAAACTTAACAATGAAATTGAAGGAGCTGAAATTTTGTTTGATACACTCGAATCATGAATTCATGAACATTAATAATAGCCGTCACTCACCAGACTTTTCTCTCAGACTCTCTGCAATCTCCTCTTCCGTTCCAACTAGAGTCTCAGCATGGTAGTCAATCTTGTATCGACCTAAAAAACTGTCAGGGATTTCAGGAAATAAGGTGGAGAGACCCTCGCGTTTCAGCCACTCATCACCGTCACGAGGAGGTGGCGTGGGTTTGGGCTTTATCACAGGGGACGGCTCGCCGACGCCCGCAGAGTTTCCACTCCAAAATGCCATTGCTATTACCGGCACTTGCGGAGTCTACTGCTGGAGCTGCCTGCACTACGGTTGTTTCGCCGACACTGTGACAGCTCAGAGTAATAGTCGTTTACAAAATAATTCAACATTCAGATGTTGGAGAAGAGAAGGGAAAAAACCAACTCTTGAACTGCCTCAAGCTCCAAACCACTCAGTGGAAAATCGACATTGTGGATTTGTGGTTCTGTATCTACCGGTAGTTGGATGACATTGGGACAACAAACTGTTACACGGCACGGGGACTTGTGTTTCTAATCACGAATCACTCCCTCGTCTGCTGTTTTGAATCAGATCCAGGGAGTCCCATGTATATGGCCTATCCTGTCATGAAGAAAAAGGATTTGAACAATACATGAATAGCCATGTACAGTACATCATGTACCATGCTTGTTCAAAAATGCCGCAGCTATGCTTTTGTACCGTACCGCGTCGCTTGCGTCCCAAGGTGTCGATGGCAACATCGTCTTGCCTGCACAGGCGCGTGTTTCTTCCGTTCATAGCGTTGCTCAGCCACTGCTCACTAGCGCTATATCGCGCACCCTCTACCGCTTTTTTCATGTCCACGTTGATTTTGCGTTGATTTTTAGGATTCTCTCAGAAATTTGATTCCGTCCTTGATTATTCTGCTCAGTATGGACTCAAAGCATGTAGTTTAGCTACGACTTTGGTACGGTACGCCGATCCACAGAAGCCGAAGCGGGGAAGGACATGCATGGATGAGATGCGCATGGCACAGAGACCAGCCGGTCACATACACGACACACACTTGTTTTGTCCGTCTATCGGCTTGTGCCAGCGCAGCGCGTGTTATGTTGTTTGTTCTTTCGCAGTCAAGTCTCAAGAGATGTGGTTTGCATTGAATCTGTTGTAATGAACGAACCAATACGATATAACTTATGAAGAAGAACGGAATTATTCTAGTCTGTTATCATCCTATGGAATAGACCGAGTTGAGTCGATCGTTCGAGTATTGGCATTTTCTATGCCCCGTACGGACTTGACTTTGCATGCAGCGTCTGTGAATATTTTGTTTGAAGAGTAATAATGGATGAGGGTCATGACCTACTCGGTCGTGACGAAAAAGAGGACAATATGGCAGATGACGATTTGTTGGAGGGTATGCCTCCCCTCCAGACCTGGGTGAAACCTGCTGGACGAGGCCCTTCCCCAGTTAGTTCTACGCAGGCAAAGAGAACAAGGTAATATTGCAGTCTCTCAAGTCTTTTGTTGTTCTACCTTGACGAATCTGCCGCCTCGGCGGATGTGTTCAAACATGGAGTGCGGAGCTGTTTTTATCTGTTTGACTGCTGGTGGAGTGCGACATTAGCTGTGACTTCTAGCTCATAAGGCATGGCTAACTGACACATGATGGTGTTAACCTCAGCGAGTGCCAATTTGCCAGAGTTGCACGCGGTGCGGGTGACATTATTGTTGTCATAAAATTGTTGGAAATGCGCACTATTGTCTCAGTGTGTTCGTTATTTCATCGTCCTCTCCCACTGCGGCAATGTGCTTATAATGAAGTGGTGTTGTTTTCGTTGGTTTCTTTCGTTCTAAATCTGTCGGAGTACACCCGTTGTTTGGAGTGCAGCGTATTATAATCCTCCAGGTGGAGGTTGGTTTCGCATTATTGTATGGCATTCCGTAGCTGCTGATGAATGGGGTTGTGTTTCTATTTGCGGACTTGTGTCCGCCTGCGTTTTTCGGCTGGCGCGCGCCATACGTCCATCTAGAATAGAAAGGGTGGCTGGAAATGGTCGATCTTATTATGCTTGTGATTGCTGCTCGTCTGTTCATGTGTGCAGCTCCCCCCACCAGCTGGCATCAATATCATCCATGTCGCCAGTGGGTAGTGGCGTGCGGAGTACTGTGTGCCCGATTCCAGTGAGCTGTAGCGAGGCGATGCCCTCCACGTGGAACGTGCGCACGGCAGCAACCGACGTCGCGGGAGGAGTGCGCCCAGCTGCAATTCAACAGGCGCACTCTGCTGGTCTGGTGATACGGCCTAGCGGCAGTGGCAATGTGACGTCTGCGAGCGCACCCCGAGCTGCTGCAGCAGCAGGCACAGGTACGCCCGTGATGCCCTCGTCCAGTTCAGCCGTGCCACAAACGCAACGCAATCTCCTGTCGGCATACTCCGTGGAGCAGCAGAAGCGGCGGCTACATGAGCAAGATGAGCTGGTAGCCACACCGTACGGCCGTGACACTGCGGCCTCCTCCTCTTCATGCACCATTCCTAGCTCTCCGGTGTCTTCACAAACTCCGAGGAGCGAATCACCGCAGGCGGTTGCCAAGCCACACTTTTCACCCGAGTCGGTGAATGAAGCATCCAAGAAAGCACCCACGGTAAGGGAATTGCTGGCACTGCGCAGCAGAAGCAATGACAACAACAATACCGACAACAGCAAAAACAACAACAACGATTTCAAACAGTGACACACCTGTGGTGTGATCTAGCGGTGCCCTTGATGACATGACGACCAGTGGGCCAATCCAGCACGGTGCACCCCAGCTGTTCCTTTTTCCAAGAGTACATAACCCCCAAGAGTGTGCAACTGCCTGCACAACCTCTATGCTGTGCTGCGACGGCAGAACTTCACATCACGTGACATGGTTCAAAAGGTTACGCTGGCAAACAGTGCAAAGTGACCGCAAGAGAGTTGAGCCCAAAGCTGGGTTGCATACAACCCTGTATCTATCATGCACACAATGCAAAACATGTGTACGAGTTCATCACGTGATGTGAAGTTCTGCCGTCGCAGACCCCATAGCCGGAGTTGCACACTCTTGGGGGTTATGTACTCTTGCTTTTACCCATGCATTCACACATACGTTTAGGGAATCGTTCAGGGAATCTTGAAGGTCCCCCCCCCCCCCCCTTCATACCCACCTCAAATGTTCCTGCAAAACGAAGACATGTTTTTCTAATTGCATGCCGAGCATGAAACCCTGACCGTAAATCAGATTGCATAGATCATTCAGCGCTACATCGTAACATGGCTGTTCTGTTGCTTACTCAGTGTGGATGAAGCTTCATCGCAGTGCCTTGGTCATGCCTGTCGTGCAGTGGATGAATCTAGACTAGGATCCGAATCCAAATGCTTGCGGGGGCATGATTTGATTCCGGTTTAGTTCACAGACTTCTCCTTTGCGTAAGAAAGTAATAAAAAAATCAGTTAGTTCGCGTTTCCAGGTCCTTAAGTAGAGAAAGTCCCCTGATTTAGGTCAAGGTCTGTGGAGAATCCATAAATACAAATACAACTAAACCAGGGTTTTTGCAGCTTTTCACATTTGAGTCGCGCTGATTGTGCTTATTGCAAGTGCCATATTTTCCGAATGTACACTCGTGGCCATAGAAATCAGCCGCGCGAGTCGAAAGCAGCGCCGCTTTTCCATTTTAATTACATCTCGCACCGTCTCGAAGCCCATGCGAAGGCCGCATAGGCCTTGGTGGTGGTTCACGGTTCTGGGTTTCTTTAGCCACAGCTGCAGTGCGCACAGTAGATGCATTAGTTAAAGGGGAAGTGCATCGATTTTTCGAGTATGGTCCAGAAGAAAGACAATTTGATATCGGTTCGAATGGCATATCTCTCGCTTTCATACGATAAGCCAAACTTGCCAAATCGCCAATTGTATACTCACGTTGCCATAGCGACCAGCGCAGTGATGACGTACGAAAGGCTTAGCTCCACCACAGAGAAGGTCGATCACTGCAGAATTTGGTCATTTTCAATTGGTTTATTGTATTCACGAAGTGAAAGAAGGGCTGTGTTCAATGCTGTTAGTGCAGTGAACTGTTTGTTAGTAGTCCTCTCGGTTGTGTACTGGGACGTGACACCGACAGGAGAAAGCTGGAGTGCGGAGACACCAGCAGACAAGCGAAAATAGTGACGAACAAAATGCTGAAATCTTGGTTGGGACAAATCAGACGTTCAGCATTTTCCCCAACCAAGGACCATGCCGTTTGCTCTTTCCACCTCCTGAAGATGAATGAGATGCTTCCTGGCGACTCTCCTATCTCTCGTAACATCTTCTGAAGCCAGGTGAGACGACGGGTGGTGGAGATTGACGAATGAAATAATGTCGTAGGTTTGAAAGTTTGCTGAAAATGTCTCAGGAGAGATGGCGAATTCCAAGCATCTTGTCCTGGAGGAAACCATTTCCTAGGCACAGTCAGCCTAGGGAAATGCATGAGAAGGGCGATAAATAGTACACGGCACTAACAGCATTGAACACAGCACTTCTTTCACATCGTAAATACAATAAGACAATTGAAAAATGACCAATTTATGCAGTGATCGACCTTCTCTGTGGAGGAGCTAAGCCTTTCATACGTCATCACTGCTCTGGTCGCTATGGCAACGTGAGCATACAATTGGCGATTTGGCAAGTTTGGCTTATCGTATGGAAGCGAGAGATATGCCATTCGAACCGATATCAAATTGTCTTTCTTCTGGACCCTACTCGAAAAATCGATGCACTTCCCCTTTAAGGCTAGGCAGTTGTATTTGCGCTCTGTACTCCCCGTGTGAAAATACAAAAGTAGAGTTGCCAAATGTACCTTGACTGGTGCGATCTAAACTTGTCCTCCTGTGTGTATTTGGAGCAGTTTTACATCTTTGTTGTGTGACGAAAAAAATTGTGTACAAAATGACCACAGCATGCGATCAGTGGAACCGACGTGGCCAGCATAGGTTACCTCCCCTCTGTATCTGAACACGAACCCTCTATGCTGCTGTTGTATGTGCAGAGTATGCCCCGCTGGATGCTGATCCACAAAGATGCCGGTCCGTGTGCGAGGTGTTCCATGTGTCTCAAGGCTATAGCGTATGGACCGCGCCTTTACACACATCCACAGCAGTGGTCCTCGGCGCAGCTCCAGGTTAGCATGGTGCACCTAAACACACGTACACACGCGCGCGCACACTGTGCATGTCATGATGAACACACACGCTGCACACTGTGCATGTCATGATGAAGCTTGCGCACTGGTTGCCAGTGTGCTGATTTACTAGTATTGATCCACTGATCAGAGTGTGTTTCGCCTCGGGCCTGCCTTTGCAATCTGTAGCTGATTGATGCTGATTTTTTCCACTATATTTCTCAGGTGTCCAGAGTACTTCAGTGTAATAGTTCTGCCTCCAACTAGTGTACATGCGGGGGCGTCGGACGGTATTTTAGTATGGTATGGTCCGCCATCTCTGAAGTGCAATTTACTCGTGTGGGGGTGGCTGAGCCGAAAAGTTTGGAAATTTAGACCAGAGTCCAGATCAACCGAAAGCTCTGTCGCAATATTTAGTTCAGAGTCCAGATCAGTGTAATTTATTGATTCACGGGGTGACTGGGGCAAAAGGTGGTACGGTCAATACCGTAGTGACCGTACCGTGTCTGATGCCCCTGGCATGTATTCTCTCTCACTCTATCTCACTCTCTCTCTCTCTCTCTCTATTCTCAGGCTCTGGCAGTGAAACGTGGCGTCAGTGGATCCCAGTGTGTCTGCCGTAACTGTCTTCTCCTCCTCATGGGCCAAGTGCATGCAAGCAGCCAGAGTGCTGCGACTGCTGCTGGCGGTGGCGGCGGAGATGCTGGTGGAGATCGCGGTGGTGCTGGTAGCACGGTGGTGGACGCGATGCAGGCCCCACTCAGCATGCGACCTGGCAGCACAGTAGGTGCAGCGACCTCTTCCAAGCCCGTCAACGCCAACTCTGGTTCTCGGCACCTAGGCGCAGCTGCAGCTGGCGGCAGTGGGAGTATGAAAAGAGGGCGGCGAACTCCCGCCGTGTCCGACACAGACTCCGCCAACTCCAGTCAGTTATCGTCGTCAGAGGCGGATGACAGCGAGGATGACCAAACGTTTCGCGTGGGCAAGTCCAAGCGTAAGCAGCATGGAGGTGGTGCTGGCGGTGGTACTGGTGGCACTGCTGCTGTCAAGCAGGTGGCGTGTGCGTATCCCAAGTGCCCAGAGCCGGCTCGTCATCACATCGGCCAGCGCAGTCACCCGGCCGCCGCCACCCTGCTCAGCTTGTCGTGGGACGTGATCAAGGCGTCGTGCGACAGCAGTGGCCGCCTGCCGCTGTGCAACGAGCACCACAAGACCATCAACCAGCTACACGGGTCAGTGATGCGAGGTGGTGTGTGTGTGTGTGCGTGTGTGTGCGTGTCTTGAATGGTGTAATCCCGGCACAAATATAATTGCTTTGTCTAACATAGCTGTTCGCTGTCATCGCTTCCGCGATGAGCGTGTCTAGGTCTGAGTGTGTGTGTGTTTGTCCCATATGGTGCAGTGGTATGTGCAGCGATTTCCAATCGATAGGTTGCGGGTTCAATTGCCGACGATTATGGTCACACACGTCTTTCTTCTCTTTCTCAGACTCCTCCTGACTTTTCTTTCATTCTCCTGGGTGGTTACCAACAGCCAGTGCATGCCGGAGTATGTGGTGTGATATGTGTGCGTGAAAAATGAAGAAGAAAAATGAAAAAGACCAAAAAGTAGGGATTCACTGGCCAGAAAAAGTCACTTCAATCAGCTGTGGTGTAGACCAGGCTGAATAGTGGCGATCAATTCTTCAGCCTTGCAAGCTGTTGAATGGTGCAATCCCAGCACAAGCTGCTATGGCTTCTGCTGTAGCATCGCTATCATCGCCTCCGGCGATGGGCGTCCAATGGTCCAATGGTGTGTGTGTTACGCCCGGTGTAGCATCCAAGTTTATTGCACTGGGCAACCATGGTCCCCAGTTGACTTTTATATAGAAACAAACTTCGTACATATCGAGTGTATGTTGGGGCAAGCGTACAGTGTGCCTTGGTTGGAAAGAAAATAGTCGATATGCTATGTATGGCGCATTGTGCACGGAATTGTACGGACGTTTTCTGCTGCTCTGTACATGTACTTTGGTTGGCGTGAACTTAGCATTATCTTGATCAAAGCTCACACTTAAGAACAGGCGCCGCTTGCTGGTCGGTTCTTGCCAGCCAGTCACAACTTTACTACCGTCCACTACACTATACATGTCATGTGACATATGGTGTGCAGTGTGCACCGTGCAGTACCTTGCCCAAGTACAGATATCATCTGCATGTCTCTTGAGGGTACTAGCAAGAGTACATAACCCCCAAGAGTGTGCAACAACTGCCTGCACAACCTCTATGCAGTGCTGCGACGGCAGAACTTCACATCACGTGACATGGTTCAAAAGGTTACACTGGCAACTACTGTAAGACATGTTATTATAACGAGTCGCAAATTTAACGATTGTCGAAAATTCATAGGTCAACGAGAAGATTTAACGATCTTGCAGTATTCTGCCATATCCACACACAGCATATATGAAGCATTACGGCCTCAACGGATCTTATTATAACGAAGAAATGTCATCCGTTAAAACGTTAGTTTTGCTTCCTCGTTATATATACATGTCTTACAGTAGTGCAACGTGACCACTAGAGAGCTGTACCCAAAGCTGGGTTGCGTACAACCCTGTATCAATCATGCACCGAGCGCAAACAATGTGTACGGGTTCATCATGTGATGTGAAGTTCTGCCGTCGCAGACCCCATAGCTAAAGTTGCACACTCTTGGGGGTTATGTACTCTTGGTACTAGTGTGTGTACGTAATCCATCTCCAGGCTGTGCTGTGTTGTCCTTCCTGTGCTGCTTGGATGCATGCGTTCAGTGATTGATATTGGTTTCACACAGCGTGATGGACTGAGCGCCCGGCCTTCATGGCACTAAGCACACGTTGATGTAATCGCGTGTGTATGTCATACCCCTATGTATGCTTGTGTGTACAGTGAAACCTGTCTAAGGCGACCGCTCGAGGGACCTTGAAAACATGGTCTCTGTTCAAAACATGGTCTCCTTATCCATGGTCATTCGACTGGAAATAGCATCCCTTAGTCCTGGTTTCAATGGTCTTCTAGGACAGGTGGTCGCCTTGACAGGTTTTGCTGTATGTGGCAGTATGTGCACTCATGTATGCATGTGTTGTGTATTGTGTTGTGTTTGTCTCTACCCCATCTGTGTATGCAGGCCCAGTGCCAAGGGCTATCAGACGAAAAGCTCCATTCGCGATCTGGTGGACGAGAAGTTCCGGCCGGAGGACTATGGTCCAGCGTTGCGCAATGTCAGCGCTAACAGCAGTAGCACTAGCGCTTCGAAGAGCTGTGCCACGGGCACGTCAGGCCGCAAGGGACGCAAGTGGCGCGCAATCGACACGAATACGCCGTTTGCGCGTGCACTGCGCACCCTGCCCAAGGCGGTGGAGCGGCCCGATCGCACCTACTGCGGACTCGTGCGCATGCCGGTCACCTGTCTCCTACCTGCGTCACATGACATGGCCTTGGATCGTGACATGCCTCACGTCCCACCCAAGCCCTTGCCCAAGCCAGCTGCATCCAGTGATGGTGTAAGCTCCACTGTTGCTAGTAGTAATATATCGACTCCACACGCAGTCCCGAGCAGCAATGGCGTTGCGGCTGGCAGCATGATACCTCCCGTGCAGCGCTTCCACACACACCGTCTCTTTGGCTGCGTGCCGATCGACGTGGCAACGGGAGAATCTGTACCCAAGGTGCAGCTGCTCTACGCTGATCGGCCGCGAACAGTGGTGGTGGTGAGCACGACAGCAGCAGCAGCAACAGGTACTACTTCTACTAGCAACACTGCCGCTGCTACGTTGTCTGCATTGTCTGCATCACAGTCCATGTCAAGGGCTGCACACAGTACAGCCTCTGCCGGTGGCAGAAAAGCAGCAGTGCCAGTCTCTGCACCTGTGTCTCACCCTCAGCAGCATGCACAGATGCGGCCCGGACGTCAGCAGCAGCAGTTCTACCATCAGAAGCAGCAGTCGTCGGCGTCTGGGTCGCATCACGCCACCTCGGCAGCAGCAGCGCAGCGTTCCTCGTCGTCGTCCATTCTTCACTCTCACCATGCAATGCCAGTTGCAGGACAGCGACACCAAACGCATGTAGCCCTGCATCGTCAGGCGCAAGCACCGCAGCAGCAGCAACTTGCTCCGAGGATGCCGGCAGCGACGGCAAGCACTGCCATGCGTCCGTTGCTATCCAGCACTGGCAACGTGGCTGCTGGTTACTCACAGCAGCGTGCTGGGCTACATCGCCCTGCACTCCTGCAGCAACAGCATCAAGGTCCTCACCACCACCATCAGCAGCTGCAGCAGCAGCAGTCTCCACGTGGCCACAAGCAGCAGCAGCAGCCCCAGCAGCATGGGCCTATGGCGCACCATGGCGTGACGCCGTCTGTTCCATCGCTTCCAGCACGAGGGCATCATGCACATTCCAGTGCAGTGCCTGAGTCTGCTACGGCTCAGCGCTTCCACCATCGTCAGTCTGCTACTACTTCACAGGCACGTCACTCCCAATCACCACACCGTAGTGCTGCTGCTACTGCTGCTGCTGCTACCGCCATTGCTACTGCTAGTCTAGCAGCAGCATCCACTCAACTGCCTGCGTACAAACAGACCTCATCATCATCAACCGCTGCGGCTTCTTTGCATGGTCATGGCGTGCCCGGCCAAGCTCTTTCTGCTGCTGCGGCTTCACCGCCACAAGGGCCGGCCGTCGCTGCAAGCAATGCCACTGGCACCGTACCACCACCGTCACAGCCGGGGCAGCGACCAGCAGCTGCCACCGCCGCTGCTACTGCTGCAGACTCTACAGGTTCGTCGTTCTTTCAGGTCAACGGCATCCGACAGCATTTGGACATTCCAGCACAGCTCACCGACCTGGACATTCAGAAGCAAGAGGAGAAGGTGCGAGAGCTGCATCGCAAACTTCAGCAGGCTGCTGCCAGGTAGGCGCCATTGCACCGCCCCCGCCTGATGATTAGCTGAAACTAACTTATAGCCAATATGGGCTTGCTGTGTGGCTTACTGCAACCTCTTGATGTATCCGGTGAATTTCTTTCACTCTCCTTTTTTTTTATAGTCCTACAATGTCCCAATGCTGTCGGGCTGTCCCGAAAACTGTCCTGCCATTTTGTTTTTATCCCGTGAGTGTGTGTGTGTGTTTGTGCACGTACGTGTTTGTGCACGTGTTTGCACGTGTGTTTGCATCCATAAGCAGATATTTTCCTCTCCCATTCATAGTACTATTTTTTCCTTTTCCCGTTGTCTGTTCTTAGCAGGCACTCCTGAGTCATGGCACTGGTGCAATGACACAGTATTACGGAGAAGTCCACTCGTACTAAAGGTTCAAAGCACCTTTTTCACGGTGTTGGTTGCCAGTTCGTTTTTCCCTAAGCTAAAAAATATATGATGGACCTATTTTATTTTGATATCGGCGTAATACCATGCGTGGCTCCATCTCGTTGGACGCATTGTTTCACGAATTAACCATGTCTGCAACGACACAACTGGCACTAGTGTGTGTGTATGTGTGTGTTTCGTCTTCCGTCACTGTACGTGCTGCCCAGTTGTGGTCTCGCTTGGGAGCTCCAGCTGCACATGCACACCAGTATCTGCATGTGTGGGTGCATTGCACGCATGCAGAGCCGTACCTGTCAAATCAGTCCCCGGATGGATGGACGAGTAGGGCAGGGGATTGCCTCGATAGGGCCTTATGACGAGGCCGGGCCTTGTCACCACCAAAGACAATAAGAAGAGACAGAGCTCATACTGGTCTATAGTGTACCACCCTTTTCAGGGGACCCATGCATAAATCCCCTTGTTGATGGGATTATGAGTGCATAATCCCCTCCCCGCGGAGCTGCGCACCAAGGGGATTTAAAAAATAATCCCTTCGGAACTGTGCAATATCCTACACCAAGAGTACTCTTGCCTATACAAAACCCATATTGGCCATGGGTAGCTTTGTAATTGCTCTAATATGTAGCATAGCAGTCAACGTTGTGTACTCCAGCCTGTATAGCTGTAGGTGTTGCAGTCATGTATTTTTGCCCCTCCCCCGGTTGTACTCCTGTCTTGATGCATACCAGCAAGAGTACATAACCCCCCAGAGTGTGCAACTCCACTATGAGTGCTGTCCCGACAGAATTTCAAGTTGACGTCATTTTGATGATGCAATGCGCACTGTACACGGATTATCAGACGAATCCGGAACCTGTGGTTGACCGAAGCCGATCGATCCTGTACAAATTATTGCAAAGAAAAACGTGTGATGCGTTGACACCCGTACACATGTTGTAAATCACTGGTGCAAGGAGCATTGCGTCGTAAATAATGACGTCAACTTGAAATTCTGTCGTGACAGCAGGGTATGTGGGAGTTGCACACTCTGGGGGGGGGGTTATGTACTCTTGATACCAGCAAGAGTACATGACTGATTGTACTCTAGATACCAGGCAGGCATGAACCACAAAATTAATCATGCCAGACATACCCATATCAACTTTCTTCTACGATGTGAGTACCATTCATCATAAAATACCGTAACGTCGTGTATACAAGCTGCGGCTTATAATTATGACTTTCTTGGTGAAATTTTGCAGGCTTCTGCATGAGAGAGGCTTCTATACAGGACAGGTATTTCAATGTACCGTAATGTCGCGTACAGTCAGGCCTCGCTTAACTTAAGTTAACGAACACATCTGTTTTCCACAAAATATCCGGATAGGCAAGGGAACCGGAAAACTGAACACCGTTTATGTTGGATGCATCGCGTATTCTGTAAATATGTAACCAGCTATTTTCTTCCGGATGATCGATGGCGAGAGATCCGGATAAAAGAAGACCGGATAAGCGAGGTCGGACGTATAAAGCCGGGCTTATTCCTGTAGAAGCCGATGGCAGGGCTAGGCTTTTATTCAAATCTGGTGTTTCTTTGTGTGTCAACACTAACCAGGCTTATGTGCCGACAGCGTATCTTGAAAGCCAGGCTTCTTTTCAAAACAGGCTTCAAGGGGGTGATTATAATGTGCAGCTCCAGCCCGGGCTGGTCGACAGGCAGGCCAGCCCGCCTGCAACGGGATCTCGGGGTTGTACACAAATGCACACAAAACCTGTGGTGCGTTTACATGGCAAGCGGGCTGGCCCGGCGAGGCGGGATCCCGCCCCGAGCCACCCGGGATCCCGGCTAGGCGGGCCAGAAAAAGCACATATAAACAGACCAGCCCGGGCCAGAGTTGTATTATTATGGTGTCTACACTGTGGGAGCGTGTAAAAAGACTTTTTACGCGTGTTGAACTGCGCCGAAACCCACGGTCAACTGGGTACTCACAGCTCGAGTGAGGATAACAAGGATGCAGTTTACAGGGTTATGGGCCGTTACACGCCCGATTGGTTGAGAGACTCACCTCCTCTCCCCTGACTCACTTGTGAGGTCTGCATTCGCCACTAAGGTGTAAAGGCATAGTGGTGGCCTGCGGAAGCGAAGGCTATAGCTTGTGTGTTTCTGAACATTCAAGTGATGCTAACGCGGATCCCGCGAATATTATATTACACTGCGTTCATGCTACAAAATAGGTACTTTTACCTTTTGAGGGAAGTTATAAAGAGGATTCCCGGTATTGTCTTGAAAATCTATGAAGCTTTTTGTACAGCAACAAGAAGGACGTGCAGTGCACACTGTTTATTTGTCGACATGCATGATTTACATTAAAAAAGAAGGGGAACTACTTGCAAAAATTAATATTTTGATATGGATGGCTGAAAATGTGAAAAACAGGAAAAAGAAATGAGGTGATACAACACACCAAACATGTGCCACAGCGCGAAAAGAAATTGGCAGAAGAATACATTGGGTGAGAAAAAAAGTTTTTAGGTTTTTAACCTGAGTATGGCTTGCAGCTAGGCCTCCGCGGAATATGCTCGTATTTTTACCGATAATTCCTTTGAGCATTGCTCAAAATTACGTCCGATAATTCCCATAATTCCACCAATAATTCTCACAATAATGCTTTTTTTCTTCCCTTTTTTGCAGATACCGTACCGCTTACGGGTTTTTTGCCACTTGTACGGGCAAAAAAATCACGGTTCGCGTGAAACTCGGCTGGAAGCTTTTTTTTCTTTCTCTTTTGAAATACCGGGCGATCAACTCATTCAGGATCACAAGCTTTTTGATACAAATCAGGGTGTTAAAATGGAAAAAAATGAAAAAAAGGGGGGCATTGCTCAAATTTTACCGATTATTCCACAAAAATTGCCAATAATTCCCGTTTAAAAAATCACACCGATAATTCCCGAAATTATGCCGGCATATTCCGCGGAGGCCTACTTGCAGCCCTGCGTTTAAGCCCGGGGCAGCACACTACAGTTGTACTGTGTTTGCTGCATACTCACAACGGGCTGGCGTGTGCTCAGCGCATATAAACTCACAACGGGCTGGTGTGTGCTCAGCGCATATATACTCACAACGGGCTGGCGGCGTGTGCTCAGCGCATATAAACTCACAACGGGCTGGCGTGTGCTCAGCGCATATAAACTCACAACGGGCTGGTGTGTGCTCAGCGCATATATACTCACAACGGGCTGGCGGCGTGTGCTCAGCGCATATAAACTCACAACGGGCTGGCGTGTGCTCAGCGCATATAAACTCACTGCGGACTGGCGACCAGCCCGGCCTTGCACATGTTAACACCCTTGGCGGGCTGGCCCGCTCGCTCCAGCCCGGGCTGGAGTTGCACATATAATAGGCCCCTAAGAGACACGCTTTAATCCGTACAAGATACTATAGTAACTTATAATTATTAGGAAACATTCTCCTGCACATAACCAGTCAATGGTGTTCGTCACGAGTCGACTAGCTACGTGCTACTGAAAAAACAAGTATGGAACGGATGGATACCCGGTACTACTCAGCGCAGCGTGACAGGGAAATGAAGGCTTCCAACCTATACTCAACTCTTCCATCTATGGGTCAAAAAGTCGCCCATGTTGGTTCCACTGTCCACATGTGCCAGGACCACTTTCTACATAAATTAGGCCACATGACAAGGACGTGACTACCAGTGTACACAGTGATATGTAGCCGGTGCTGTATACACTATACATGCACTCGAGCACAACATGGCATAACACATCTATCATCAGTCATCACACTGCTTCTAGAAACTGCTCTGGCAATACTTGGCACAACCTCCCCATACGATCGTACTCCAGAGTTGAGCAGAGAAAGAAAGAGAAAGAGAGCGAGAGAGCGAGAGAGCAAGAGAGAGCGAGAGAGAGAGCGAGAGAGAGAGAGAGAGAGAGAGCGAGAGAGAGAGAGCGAGAGAGAGCGAGAGAGAGAGAGAGAGAGAGAGAGAGAGAGAGAGAGAGAGAGAGAGAGAGAGAGAGAGAGCGCACACACACACACACACACACACACACACACACACACACACACACACACACACACACACAGAAGTCAACACTGCGGGTACACGCATAACCAGTACACAGTATCACAAGAATCGACGTCAATGATTGAGCTGACAGCCGCTTTTCCGCTGTCTTGAATAGAAATCAGGTATAGCACACAATACATAATAATTATCAGAAAATGCGCTAGTGGTTCAACTTTTCCTATTCTCCTACAGTTACCACTGCTTCTACTACAGTTAGTACTGTTGAGCGAAGGGAGGGAGGGGGGGGGGGGGTATACATAGTAAATACACACATGAGCAAGGCTGGAAAGGTAGTGAGGAAAAAAGTTTAAAAACATTCTGTTGGTTCCTACAGAAGGCAGGGGTGACTCGCTACTTTTCTTTTCTAAATAAAAAAATACTATGCATGGGTCTTGGGAGCTAAGGCAAGGAGAGGCAGGGGAAGGGCCGACAGAAAATAATAAAAAAGGTTTTGAAAAACTTGATGTCAAAACCTCATGGCCCTATTATTAAAGTAGAGTAAAAATCCAAATAAATTTCCTAGAAAATCCAGATACTTCTTGTATGATTGGTTCATAGATGGGTCAGTGCACATTGTGCATACTCACTGGAGAAGGGCAGGGCAGGAAAAAAGAAGGCACGTAGCAGGGCAGCAAACACACACACACACACGCACGCCCGCAGCACGC